ACGTTTGTAACATTAGTTATGAGCGCTTAAAGACTGGTGTACCGAAGGTGTAGTTTTCAGCCAAAACGGGTTAATATTATTATACTTAAATTTGAAATATTATGTTTGGAATACTCTATATGTATGCTCGCATTTTTTTATAGCTGTATTAATTTTTCCAAAATGTAAAGTTTGTCTTCGCTAGAACAATACCTCATCCACCGATCCCAAACGCTGAACAAAATAGATGTAGATATAATTTACTCACGTTTAATAGCTAACTATTTAAAAAATGATTATATTTTATAAAACTTGAATCATTGGTATAATTAATATCTAGTTGATTGATAAAATTAGAATGCTGAAGTTATACTACTTTTGATTTTATATTGAATGATTATTTCTGACCTACCTATATACATTTTTAATATAATTAAAAATTTTGTAATAAAAGTTCTATCTCGTCATAACATCTAATATTATGTTCTAATGAAAATAAATAAAACATCTCGAGTTTAGTTTAAAGAAACATAACAGTATACATAATTAAGACAACATATAAGAAGAATCATTAATGATGTGATGTATCCGCATTACTTATTAACATATTATGTTGCCGATTTGAGGGCGAAAGTTTTGTCTTCAGTTATATCTATATTATTTCAATTTGAAGAGTAATGTTATAGATTGAATTTATCTTTGATATGCAAATGAATTTGTACTCCATCTGTTCGCCATCAATACTCTTTATGTTACTTACTTTCTCATTTTTCTTGTCTCTATATTTTTATTTACAGGACCGCGACATCTGCTTATCTTAAGGCAAACAACGCTAAAAGTGGCTGACCGCGATAGTTAAAAGCACGTGCTTGTCAATCCTCACTGCTAGTATTATCCACCGCCAGGGAGAATCCATCTGGACTTGTGTCGTGCCGCCCTAGTTACTGTTTGATCAATGCAAAGACCTAAAGGAGTGGAAACCGCTTTTCCCACTTTTCTCGCACTCTTTCTGCCAAGAAATGATACGATTGGAGAGGTTTTCCTGTTTCAGTATCCGGCGCATGTGGTCGCTTCTCTAAACTTCTCAATGTCCGGCTTATCCGACAGAAGGCTGTGCCTTACCGATTTTGTATGCCCTAGTGCGCGTTTGTGCGATTACTCTCAACAAAAAAAGCTAATTAAAACGCCAAAGCTCTTTTTAGAAAATTAAATGTTTGCAATTTTATTTCATAAGCGTGCTCATTGTTATTATTTTTCGAAACTACTCTTATTTTAAAAGAAAAATTATTTACATGGAGTTTCTGGTTAAGCATGAATATTTTCAGCCTAAAGAATTTGAAATACTGATCGTTCAGTTTTGAACACTTTCCCGCGCACCACTGGGTTTATACGCTGACTCAATATTTTTCTAATCCATACTGTCAATTGGTTATTACAGGGGAGGTATATTCCAGAGAAAGAGTTTCCCGGATGGTCAATGAGTAAAATGATCGAGTTACGAATTCAATCTAACATACATAACATTACTCGGCGATTTAGATATCAGGAAATATTTATTCGAGTGACAGTCAAAAGTATAACAGTTTACGCTGTACTTAACACTGGTTGATTTACATATCGGTCGGGTTCCAATGCGCAAATTTCGTCATGGCACTGATCGCTTGTTTGTATACAATTTAATAGCACTTGCACCGTCACGATCTCTTCCCGCGAGGACACCAATGATCGGCTCGTCCGTTATAACATAACACGCGATGATATACGGTTTTGCCGTTAACCGTGTGGAGTATGCCGACAATTTGGTTGATTGGTCCCATTAAAGTTTGGAGACGCTTGGCATCCTGAGCCTTCGACTTGTGGTCTGGTCTAAGGTGCTTTCCTGTAGCGTGGTTGCAGGGCTAATCTCTCATTAGTAAAGTCATTGACGACGATGGCCTTAATCGGTCGAATTAAAACACCTTTGCCTACCGGGGATGAAGCCAACGCAGACCGTAGTGGGACTGAGAGTGCCCGGATCGAATAAGTTGGAACATCGTCGGCCTTCGGAGACGGGACGTCAGAGCCTAACAGAACGATGTTGGGTGGGCGGAGACGAGCGAGGAAGTACCGGCTTAAGTACCGGCAAACGAAGCAAATTGACATACATGTCGAACATCCACGCAATGAGAGGTCGCCGCTGTCGCACGCTCATCGATCTAAATTAATCAGCGCGAGTCGATGTCGAGACATGGGCCAGGCGCACAATTCAAGTTATCTCGTTATAATGTTACATAATAAATAATTGAAGCGAATAAGAACATTCGACATTTAAACTGATGACTGAAATTAGTCATGTCTTTTGTCTCATTGATATTAATATATACTCAATAACGCTATGCTTTTATACAGAAAAAATCGTAACTTCGTTACGATAGGTTACTATTATTGCTTAACTACTTATGAATAGCTAAGTGCATCGATTAATAAAAAATCATGTGGATTGTGAATTTTATGAATCGCGAATGAAGGTTACTGCATATTAATGAAATATGTATGGACATCTTGATTTACGTGTAAAGCATAATCAATCAAATTTGCAGTTGCATGAGTGAGTAGATTTAAAATGACACTAGAACTTGTAGATTCATATATTTGCATAGTTCCGAATGTCGTGTTTTTTCAGAAAGTATTTATTTATTCATGAATATCTATTTTGTCCTCTTCAAAACAATCCTCATCAGATATTATACATTTGTGCCAACATTTTTTCCGATCTTTGAGGCACTTTAAAAAATAATTTTTTGTAATTTTGATACAGTCTTTATCTCCTCAACCGTGGTATAGCATTATCCTTTCATGGGTCTCTTTTGGAAACAAGAAAATATCACAAAAGACTAAGTCTAGGGAATACGGTGGCTGCGGCATCATTAGTATATTGCTTTTGGCCAAAAGTTTGCGCACGAGCAACGACGTGTGAGCAGGGACGTTATCATAGTGCAAAAGTCAATTTTGGTTCTTCCACAAAGGCGGTCATTTCTAGCGAATTGCTTCTCGAAAATTACGTATAACTTGCAGATAATATTTCTTATTGACTGTTCTACCTTATGGCAAGAACTCATGATACACCATGCCTCTGTAATTTAAAAAACGAGTTTTTAAGACTATTTTAAAAGCAGTTTCGCAGTTGTAAATGAGTAAAAATTGTAATTTAACAATTATTATTATTATAATTACGAAACAGCAGTTTGGCATCTTGTCCAAACAACATCAAAATTGCCACTTCGTAATTACACTAAAAATTGTTCATGTATAATTTTTACTTGCTTGCAATTACTGTTCAGGACGGGAATAAAGCAATACATTAATTTCTAAAATACAATGAATATTAAATTAAATTAGTGCTAATTCCAAGTGAATAATAAATGATTAACTATATAATTTTCTAAATATCGCACGCGATATACAAAGGTTTGAGTTGCTGTAGTCAACTCGATCTTATGGTTCGTACAAGAAAAAACGACTTGCTAGTTCGGCTTACTAATGCGTTCTGAATCATGGGTGGCGAGCGAGTCGAAATCTCAAAATTTTCTTTTATCCCCACTACAGGGTTTTATTTTCTCCTCTCCTTAAAGGAACGTATAGGCATTGCTTTTACAGCATTTCCTATAGTTTTGGGTAGCTTGCCATCCCGCTCCTCGCTAACTATGAGTCGTGTTCGGCGTTGTCACATGACACCGCGCGTTAAAGATCTTTTTACGATCTTTTCTCGCTAAATGAGATTGGAATAAATATTCCAATCTGCTTGGCTGTAGCAAAGCATACACCTATTTATCGATGTGCTTGCTAGTTGAGCTTGTGGGATGGCTTCTGGTCTCTATTTGCGATCTATTTCGAGGCATTATTCTTCTCGATTTGTTTGTTCTGTGCCCTATTACGTGACAGTAGAGGAACTCTACATCTCTTTCTGTCACATTTGCTTTACAACATCGCCTCGTATCGGCGCCCATCCTTCAGATTCACATTAGTTTTCTATTAATGTTAGTCGAGTACAAAACTTATAGCGCGTTTACATAAAATTCTTGTCGCTCTATTTCTTGTTGACAAAACGAACAAATCTACGCATGCAAGGAAGCTAGTAGAGCCGAGAACATATGGCATTCATGACGTGTGCAGGTCAAGTTCCTATCGCAATGGTTTCACTTTTCGGCTACGGCTGATTTTAATAGTCGGCTGAAAGGTCATGAATCACGGCTTGCGCGGTCCTGCGACCTTTTCTAACGAATCCCCTTTCCGAAACAGATCAAATTAAGGTATCGTGTCAAATATGAGTCGAGCGCGCAAACGACATCCGCGATACTGCCTCCGTCCATTTATCAACGATTAATTTCTTATTTTAAGCCGACCGCGACAATTACCAAATTTATTTTCAAATAGTCTCTAAGGTTCAAGTCTTAGTGCTAGTCTACTTGCATGTTAGTTTTACTTTTTGAGAAGTCTGGTGGACTGGGAGTAGGAGTTATTCAATTTCAAACTTTCTTTTCTGTAACAGTCCTCTTTGACTATTGGTGCTGTTGGTGGTCCTTTACTTTGGAAATATTGAATGAAATTGCTAATAAAATGGGCGCGGTTTCAGGTATGTCGACTTTTCTTGTATTCGTGTTTTGAATTGCATTATCGGACAACTCACCAGACTAACACCATTGAGACTACCAGTTTCTACCAATAGCTGTTATATGAAATATATGATTACAAGTAGCAAAAATTTACTACGCAAACAATGCGCAGTAAGCTTATATTATTTATATATATAAATACAAATATAACTTCAACTACTTAAATCGATTAATATAAACACTTCTTTCAATAAATAATAAATTTTGATATCACATTTAAATTATGTTATTTCATTATTCTATTTAATCAACAATAACTATGACTTAAATGTAGTTGGCAAAAATATTTCACAAAACATACAATAATATCGCGTCACTAATCAAACTTATAGAAAAATACGCAAAAAATAAGTACTGATTTGTATTATTATATTATCTGTCATAGCACAAACAAATAATAAGCAATCTTGAAAATAATAATAATACATCAATAGATCATACCATTCTTTGTTTTCAGAAGTGATTTGACTTATTTTTATTTTTATGAAATGTCGTCTGGTACAGAGCACTAGGTTTTATTATCACGATGTCAATTGGACATATTACGAGTCTGTTGTAGCCAAGCGCATTAGATTATGAAAGAGACTTCATGAACAACGACAAAAACATCTGATCTAGACCAAAGTAATTATCAGTGATTACCGTTGCCATCGATCTTTGTTTAGTTAAATATTGGTTTTGTATATTAATCTCTAAATAATCATCAAATGTAATTGTGATATAAATGTCACGTCGGAGTATGGAATAAAAATTACTATTGTACTTTAGGAGTACATATATTTTTCTTTTATAGAGCCAATAATAATGAAACGTATCAATCGACAAATTATTGATAATATGAAGCAATATTTAACATTAAAATATTTCTAGTTTAAAATTATATACTTAAGTAAAAAATTCATTTTGATAAATAAAAAGCACTTAAAAGTTATATCGACGTACAAAATCTTAAATTTTATGGTCCATATTTGTGCAACAAATTTATTCTTTATTTCAGTTCATCATTTTATAGATCTTTATAAGTAATTATAAATTTGTTGAAGCAGGTTTTTCACTGACATTTGTTGGAAATAATAACTAGAGAGAACAATTTAACGCTTAAACCAGTGGATTTAACAAGAATTGCGTTGTAACATAGGAAGAAATAGCTAATTCTGAACACAGCCATTTTTCAGAAAATATCGTAATTTTTTCCTTTTTACTTTAGAAAGTTTTCGTTACAATATTCAATCTTGAAAACTTAAAAAGACTTTCTTGTATAAAAATATATCTGAAAATCTATCACATTGACCCAAGAACAAAGACGCGTAAAACGAAAATTTCTTATTCTCATTTCATCTTTATTAAAATTCTAAATAGTATAATCAAGTATCATCTAGTTTGTTTCTTTCGGAAAATGCATTATGCAACAGAAAAAAATATATGCAAAAAGAATTTTGATAAAGTCATTCCAGACCTATACAGCACTTTTTAATCATTAAAGGAAAAAACTAATGATGTTCGAAGTCAAAATACTAGTTATTTTCTTTGTATTATATTATTTTTAATATAGACTAGTACATAGGTATTTCAAGGTTACTTTGAAAATGTATAAAATATTTGAAAGTGCCCCACTTCAATAATATTATAACAGTATTTTTAGTGCTCCTATTCTAGAATAGTAAAAATTTGGATTGCGAAGTATTTAGATTTTGAAGCAAGGAACTAAGTGTACGATATTACTTCAACAATATATTAATTTAATATTTTCAACTATGTAGCTTACTCTCTCGCTCACTTTCATTTATTGTTTAATTATTTTCATAATTTAACAACCTTCTGATTACCGCAATAATTTTCTTAACATCGTCAATTAAAAAGAGTGAACAGAAATCAACAAGTAGTGTCGTGAACATTACTGGTCCATAGAAATATTAAAAAATACCAAAATTAAGAAACTTCGTGGGTCCAGTTAGTTTAGCGTGTCCATAACAAATTGGAAAAAATAATAGGCTTTACTTTTGCTTTACACATGGACTTGTATCGCTTTACATTTTCACAAAACATGAAATAATTTGAACAAAAATTGAAAATATCTTATATTTCAAAATTAATACAATTAGTTATTTCTGCCCACTCTTAAGCATTATTAAATCTTTGACAATATAATAATCTACAACGTTAATGGACGTAATGCTCATGGAACTTGCTTTGGAAGTTCATATTACACATGTATTCAATAAACTGTTCATAGTTAGCAACTGCATTATACTTTTGCATTCCAGTAATTGTACACTTTTCAAGTATTTAAATATGTGGGAATGAACATTAGTAAAACTTACAAATTTCTCAGATATGCTAGAATTAGTCATTATGTTTTTTTTTTGCATATTGTATCATCATAAAGCTTATTATTTTACGATACAGATGAATTTCTTAAATTTGTTTTCATTTCAAATTCGTGCGATTACTCATTATTATACGATAGTACAAGATTTATTATAGTGGTATTCATTTGTAAAGCTATTCAATTAACAATCTAATTAACAACCTGATTTGTAATTAGATACGCCTTTGTAAAAATTAATACTACCTTGATTTTTAGATGATTATGTTAGAAGATGATACTTACGGAATTTTTATATTATTGATATATATAATATCACAAAAATGTAATATAACAATTCAGAATACTTTGAAACTTTATTTGTTTTAAATGTCACAGATGATAACTGACTTTGATACGTATCACATAAATATATTTTGAAAAAATAAAATATATTTTTTCCCAACAGTCTGTCTATTATTTGTATTTTCTAATGATAATTATTAATTTATCATATTTTGACACTTTTTTTGTTTTGAATTTTAACATTTTCAAAATTTTAATATTTATTGCCAATTACGATTTGGCTAACACGTAAATCTTAACATTTAAAAGATAAAAAATACGTGGTTTGAATTTGTACATATATACTGAAACTTGAAAATAATTTTTTTCAAGTTTTTACTATTAGTTAACAAAATTTACATGTTATTTCAGGAAATAAGTTCTAAAAATCAAGTATAAATTTGGTCTCAAACTTTGGTCTTTGATAATTCAAATACTAATTACAAACGTGATAGTTAATCTAGACAGGAATCGTCAAGCTGAGTCTTTAATATCTCTGTAAATCTATAAATTATAGCTGAGATAAATTATTCAGTGAACTAAAAGTTTTGCAAAGATTTCAGCCAATAACTAGGTAAAGTTTAATTGAAAATTTATTCATTTATGTTAATCTGACAAATAATTTATTTACATCGCACGAAGTTCAAAAATGTAATGATAGTTCCCAGGTATACTATAATCAACATTGCAACTTTATTTGCAATGTTCCAAGCATGTTTAATTAACATGAGTTTGTATTGTTTCTGATGGTTAGCCCTTGATATCTATTTGTAATTACAATTGACAGAGTTTCTACTAACAGTTAAAAATATAAGAAATTTGCCATTGCATAGGGGCCTTTTTAACGTAAAATCAAAAGATATATGGAAAAAATATGTTTTGCAGTAACGACAATTTTACGTTTTAAAAATATTGCGAAAAATTGTATTTATTGAACATTTTAATTCATTAAAATCTACTCTCAATGCTCAATTTTATATCACATTGAGAAATGTATAAATAATTTCTTTAAATATACTTTGATTGTACATATGATTAGAAAAATTGCTCACATATAGCAAATGTGCATTAATAGCGCAACTTCAAGGGATCTATACGAAACCAATTAGCAACTATTTATTCGAGCATCGCACAAACCCAAGCTTGATTGCTTTTACATTCCTAATTTAAATTTTTCTTCAATTTTTATCTTAGTAAGGCAGCTATTTTAAATGTTTGCAAACATACTTCATTTTCAGCACTCTTTTAAGTAGACATGGACAAGCCTGAATGAATATACATATGACAGATTCTATAATAAATAGAATATTTTTAAATATAAAATGTTAATTTGTACGTGCACGTAAAAACAAGTGCACCGAAGTAATTTATTTTACAAAGAATATTTTTTATTTTAAGGCTCAAAATATTTTAATCGATTATAAAAATTTTATTAATAATAGGCTATCCGAGTTAGTGAGATAATGGTGCTTTGTAATATCAACAATAATCAGTATCTCATCTCGTCTCTCTTAAAATTTACTAGCATCGTTATACTTCACTCGGAAAATCGGTTATAAATAATGATTGATTATCCCAACTAAATGATTCCGTTTAACATATATAAATCGATTATAATTAAAAAATTTTTCAATTATAAGAAGTATCGAAATGGAAGAACATAAACTAATAGTTGAACTATTACAGGAACTTTAAAATATAGATGTATCTGGATTATAAAAAAAGTAATGGTTAATTAATAAGTTATAGTAAAACTATATAAACTTTGTATCGTTCTATAACCTTGTTAATACTTTCAGTTGAAATACAAAAAGCTTCATAAATTATTGTACTGACTGGAAATTGTGATGTACTTAATATTCAAATATAATCCACTATAATGCAAAGATATATAGCTCAAAAAATCTTACAATAAATATTTTATAATAATATGTAATAAAAATTCGATGATATATATGTAAGACTTATGTACTCAAAACCATCTCAAGCTTTCCATTTGTAAAAAGAATTAAGAACGAGGCAAGCGTTGTTTGCCTCGCGAAAACGTGGAAGTATGTAAAACAAGACTTTCGATAATCAGAACTACGAATCTATCATTATTAAAGCACTCGATAAATGCTAAAAGTAAAAAAGTTTAATGAAACTTGTCCATGCCAGCATTGACTTAGCAACAATTTCAGTGGTATAGCTCGCGTCTTAAATCTTTAACATGTAAATGGCTTTGCAGTACCGATAACCAACATCACTCTGTTTATTTTTCGTTATAATCAGTCAAGATCAGGCACATCTGGCTTCTCGGTTGAGCCCATCCGCTGTTTCAGATACTCAAACTTCTGGCGCAGCAGGGACTTTTTGAGAACGCCATGCGCTCTGAGGCCCGCGACATCGGGTCGCGGGACATACTGCTGCTACGCCGCTTTCTGACGCTTACGAAGTTCTCGTCGGCTGGTCGTCGCGCCGCTAGCCGATGTTGTCATGGATGACCCCGTGTTCTTGGTTTCGCAATCCGCCGTCGGCACCGGCTTCAGCTCCCTAATACACGTTTTGAATCCGGATATAAAATTCGCAATAAATTATACCGATAAACTTTACCTACCTATAGTTTAGTAATTCTTCGTCGTCAGGCACTCTAGATATGAGATCAAGTACTTCGTTGTTGGGTACCACGTGAGGCCTGATTACTTTTCTGGCGAATTTATTTACACCCCAGGCAAGTATTAGATAACGTACGGGAATGAAGTACAAGACGATTATGGCAAGAACTGCCAAAAACATTGCTAAGTAGCTGAGGTAAGGGACGGTGAAATTGAACAAATTCTTTACCCTTTCACATAGGCTTGCTATGTAACCAATGGAATTTTGCACAATCTGCGTTACTTCTTGTATGGCCTGCAAGCGCTCTTTCAGACTCTTCTTCTCTTCCTGTTAAATTCAAGTTAACGTCAATGTTAAGCCAAACGCCTTTAATAACTTGTTTTTGTACCTTATCTTTATCGTCGTCATCTTCGTCGTCATCGCCAGGTGTTGACGGACCATCTTCATATGATCCATCCGTAGAATCTTGAATGTGAACATTCATCTGGTGAGGAAGAGGAGCTCCCATCAGAACTGCTACCTGTTTGCACAGCAAGGATTGAAGGCAATTGAAGCGCCCTATCTCTCTCTCTTTCTCTCTTTTACATTTTATTCTTTATTATTTACACAATTATGTTCAATACTTTATGCAGAACATCAAAGAAATTAAACTATTAAAAAACTTTTCAAATATAATAAAAGGTGGGGATAATAATAGCTATGTGATGAAATCTGACATTATTTAGACAAATATTAAAAGACCAAAAATAGCTGTCCGTAATATATGAACTGATGACATGAACAGAAGTGATATTTGAATAAATGTTAGAACTTCAGAAGATTAATAAGGATTGAATTTGCTAAAAAAGTTATTTGGGAAAGTGTTTGATTTTTGCAAAGAACTGAAATTGATACTATCATAAATGTGAGAGATAAGGTATGTTGGAAATGGTTAATGCAGTGGAAGGTTAGCACAAGCATTATAAGACACAAATCTCTTACCACATAATACTTAAGAAGAATAAGAAACGATGCTGTTGGAATCATGTATGGCTCAAAGTAGTAAACCACAAGCACAAAAAGTACAAGTGCTATCACAGATCTCATTTTATTTTCCCATTCCCAGCAGCTCCTGCAAATTTAAATTAGGAAATAAATTTGTATATCATAAAAGTAGAAATGACTATTGGGAGAATAGAAATTAGATATTCGTGTATGTATATTTTCAGTATTATAAACATTTTTGAGAAATAAATTAGATGAACATCATAAAATTTTATTTCTGTTATACAGTTTTATAAAATAACTTTCATTACTTTGTACGTGGAGACTTGACTTTCCGCACTCTCGAGAAATCGAGAATGCTTAAAATCTCATCCAACACATATCTCATCGAAAAGTAAAGTTAGATATGCGTGCAAGAAAGTGATTTCACCCTCGTGCGGCCTCTTCACCCTCATATCGCATGGGCGCAAACCACCATACGAGAATCAAATCATTTTCTCGCGATAGTATCGAAATGTACTAAACTATATTCTTACTGTATATATTTTCCTACGTCAATGACCATGACAATGATAGCTTTTAGCCTGAGGACATTCCTTAAAAAGACCTGCCGTTTAAACTTCATTTCTGGCTCCATGTATTTCTTTTCTTTTGGGTTTAACGTCCTTATGCAAGCTCGCAAATAATTCCAAACGACAGTGAGCTCAAGTAATATTTGCGGATTGTTACCCTTAGCACGACATCGTAGTTTTTTATCCTTAAGAGCGTACCATCGTTTTTCACCATTCCGTATCTTTAATAGAGGTACAGCAACCTTCCCGAGGAATTCAACTTTATGATCACGGTCTTCATCGAATACAGTAACTTCAAGCACGGAATTTATGTCTTTCACATTACTGAAAAAAATATAATTTGTAGAATAACATTAAAAATATATAAAGTATAAAATAAATGTATTTGCACAAAGACAGCAATATTCTATTCGATGTATAATCTTCTAAATTATTTGTTTATAATGATATTAAAATGGATATATTGTGTGCCACAAAAAAATTATCAACGATTTCTTGGTGGTTCGAAACCCACCTTAAGCTGTAGGTCCAATAACTATTGAGGACATCTTTCATTTATCTATAAAAGGGTTTACGCCAAGAACATACCGTGGAAATGAATAAATGACTGCTTTGAAACGCGGTAGTCCGATGCTTCTCGGGAGTTCAAGGGTATAGTTCATACAGAGCAAAAAAAGTAAAAAGAGCAAATAGGAATATCAAAAGGAGGGGGAAAATGTCTTCAACATTACGATGGTGAGTGATGTGCCCTAAAAGCCCGATAATTTTATAGGGAAAATAGAAAACAACAGCTGTTATCATTACAAACAATTTCATTATACAGTAATCATACATCTCAACACTAATCTTGTATGTAAAATAAGAAATTTATCGACTATTTTGTATTGTTTGCAGTAAAACAAGTCGGTAAAAAAAATGTTGCTGAATTAGATAAAACATCGTAACTGATAAATATCCATTATGTATCGAAAACAACATGTTAAGATTTATATTAACGAGTAAATTATTCATCTCGCAAAAATTAAAGTGGTCTATTTACAATCTGGGTAAAGTTGATTAAAAAATATAGTGTTGTACCAACGATCAATACTTACAAAGTGAAAATCTTTTGCCAGTTAGGTGCCAAAGTTTTGTACTCGGTTTGGGTTTGCAACCTTGCATTGATAAGTTCAAGCACACAAAATGGATCGCTCTTCCCTCCTAAGTCAGCTGCTGCGAGACCTTGTGCTCGGTAAACCTGAGAACACAATTTGAATAAAAATGTGTCATGAGCAGATTAAATTTTAATTAACAGTGTCACCATAATCTATAATAATTAACTTATTATTATTATGGCTTTAACTTGTTTTGTTCCTATTTATTATATGTTTCATTTGCACGATATCTTAAACATTGTAAGTTCGGTTTATGATAATTTTGCCATTCATGGGTAAAATATTTTATATTTATTTTATTAATGTAATATAATTGCATTTATTATGCAGAAATTTTATAACTAAAGGATAAAGAATATTCATACTTATTCACATGTAATACGTCATTGTGATATTCTGAAATGAATTCTATTAATATGTTTCGTTTGAAAAATGGTTTTCTAAGTAACGCTGAAGATACAAATGATAGACTTTAGCGCGTAAGGAATAAAAAAGTACTTGGAATTAATGATATATAAATAGTTTAAATCGTTGAGCATCGTTAGACCGAGCATTGGTATAAAATGAAGGCGCAAAATTTCGTTGATGGCACGGCCAATATTTTTGAAAAAGTCGAAAATAAGAAGAATGAAAACTGAAGATCGTTTTACGTCGGCTGTCGTGAAAAATAAGGAGCGCTTTTCAAATGCATACTGAGAATAGCAAAGTATCTTGTTGTCGACAGCGTGATTGAAAATTGATTGAAACGCTCGAACGATAGAAGAGTCGAGCTAGCACACAGGCTAAAGCCTTGCAAAGTAACCCAAGCCATCTGGCAAATATATATGTAAGAACGTGAAAAATCAGCACGTAATAACACTTTGCAGATGGCTGAATGAGAGCATAAAATAACCTTAACAGTGAGATGTCCGACGTCTCGGGGTCTTTGAAGCGTATTGGCTAACGAGTACTTTTGAATGAGAAGAGCGCGTTCTTGGGGTGTCTCCTCGTGAACGGCAAGGTCGCTGATTGTCTCGCTGGCGGTAGTGCCGCTTATCGTCAGCAGTAGGAAGATATTGCCTGCGCCGTCTTCGAGCTCGCGCCAGAGCCGATGGGTCGTCTCGCGTTCGAGACTCGCCAGATTGATCACCGTACGGCCCATCAAGTCGTCCTGATGACTTCGATCTCGATCCCACACCGTCACCTCCAGTTCTTGGCCCAAGTGTGGATCCTCATATAGATGCAGATCAAATTGCTCCAGCCATACCGGATTCAGCGTCTTGTTTACTACTTTCGATTTGTATTTCTCCGTGCCTAGACTACCAGAAAAAAACATTGATTTTATTCGACAATCGTATGTCACCTATACAACTCTTGCATTTAAAATTAAATAGGTAATAACTTAAAAAGTCTACTTATTTAGTAATACATTAATGTGCGAATTTGAAAAGACTACGATAAAAGTTGCAGATTAAATGGGCATTTCTCTTTGACATTGATTCTACAGCTCAAACGAAAGTTCGTGTGAGATCCAATGTGTGACACATAACAATTCTGACAAGCTTTTATCTTACCGAAACTTAACGTATGGATCTGACAGACCGTCTATATCCATTGGCAATAAATTTTTTGCTTCGACTAGGACAATGGTGACAACTGAACTCCATATCTGGGACTTGAGCTTCCGGTTCACGTCTGCCAAACGATTGCTTCTTTGGAAGTACTGTAATCAATAACGTAAATTTTATTTATTGTCATAACAATAATAGAGGTTTTCGTAAAATAATTAAAGCGCCTGTTGAATACTTTAGTGCTTACACACTTTTATTGTTAGTTTTCTAAATGATTATCAAAAAATGATACAAGATACCTTTCAGTTATATGTTAATTATTTAACAGAAACCTGATGCAACTGTATTGGTTTAATTCAACAAATTCGAATAAATTCAGTCTCCAAACTTTTAGAATGAAAATAAATAAATATAAAATTATTCCCGTTTCACATAACAGTTTCAGGTTTCATTAATTTTTAGTGTATTTTTTCTCGCTTTACATGAATAAATAATAAGCGAAAGTTCATCATTGCTTATTTGCATAACTGAAAATAGTACCCTATGGATATCTTCTATTTTATCCTTAAAATTTTCCTTGATCTTATCAAAAAAATCAGGTGAGTCAGGCTGAGAAATGGAATTTCCCGTTTCAGTGACTGGGTCTGGAGCCGTTGCGAGCGTCGACGTTGATGTTGTTGCGTCTGATCGCTTTGAGGTCAAGGAGCCAGTTGAATCTTTGAGATTCTTCAAAATCTCGTTCGCTCGCGATATTTTTATGCTTCCTTTCGCTTCATCATCGAATTTTTCGCATTTCTCCTCTCTCAGTAACTTTGGAGAACCCTTGGAGATTAAGATTCATTTTCTCACTTTTTAAGTTTTTTTCTTACGCTCTATCTTTACATCTGTCAGGTGCTGCTTCGTTTCTATTCTTCTTAAGACTTGTTTTGAGAAGATTGTAAAATTTTTCAACTCAGAACTATTTGACGAAAGAGCAGTGGCTTTATAGTTCTTTCAAATTGTTACTTTGTAATGCATATTCAATGCAAAGAAAATATACATTATAAATATTTATAATCATAAAAGCTCTAAATTTATTCGATTTGGGCAATAAGAGTATATTGTAAATACGTAAATGAATTTAACTGGAAATCGATGAAGCGTTTAGCTCGCTACTATATCGTTTCCTTTAAAAGATAACATTCGAGTAGTAGATCGTGAATTCACTCTTCGACCGTGGCTTTTAATAATTCATAAGTTGATTTGTTATAATCGTTTAAAACAATGTATTGCTCGTAAAAAAAGTATGAAAACCACACAAGAAGAAGTAATTGAGAAAAGATTACTTTTGAGCAATAACTGGCTCATAAATTTTAACAAGCTGTCCCGTCATTTTTCGTTGTGTTTTTACGAGCACTCGACTGGAAAAACCCAAAGTGTCGCAGAGAAAACAGGTAAAAACTTGACATAGAATATCGCGTGATTCGGCAAAGTTTGCCAATTAGATCGCAATTGGAAAAGTTGAAAGAGCCTAAATTGTCGCATGGAAAAGTTGGGGCTCGCGTGCAAGGGTGAAAAGAAACGAAGCAGCGCGTGATTGTCATACTCGTAGCGGCAGGAGCTCACTTTCCGTGTGTCCTTGTCCCGAGCTGGCCTACTGTGGATTTCACTGTCGGAACTGTAGCCACGTGCGTGCGCCTCGGACTTGAGCTTGCAGCGCTCGGCTACCCAGGCTTCGATGGGGTGCAGCCAGGGTAGCTTCTCGCAAGCTTTCTCTGCTCGACTCTCGGCAAGCTTCTCCATTAATTCTACCCTACGCTCCACGAGCAGCCGCAGCGCTTCCATCTTGTGGCGAGTCCTCGCCGGTCTTTTCGGTGCTTCACTCGTCGGCTCTCGCAGTTTCATCGTCGCTTCCTGCTTGGCTGCTTTGTACGCCACGTACTGCTCGAGCACTTCCGGATGTTGGCGTAATCCTGCGGCCAGCCGTTCCAACGCGACTTTCGGAGCCTCGTTAGGTCTCGACGCTTCTGCGTGCCGTAGATCATCCTCCGTAAGGGACGTCGTTGACGACGACGCCGTGGACGAGGCGGACTTGCCAAGCGGGGAACCGCCGTGTCTTCGAGCACTCATTCTTTGTACAAGTAACAAATTTTCCTAGCTGTTTGTAAGTTGCTACAAGATAGCGTATCGTCAAAGAATAATTTATGAAATTTGACCTCGACGTGCTTTTTTTTCGAAACTCGTTCGGTAGCTTGTTTGGTCAATTAAATAACCACGATAAGACATAATGGACATCAATTTTAAGAGCGTATTAACAAGTGCATATAACGATAAGAGCTTTTGTCGATATTTTCTTTGTTTTACGTGTGGAATTCAAAAATTTTAGTAGCAATTTGCGCGAAAATTAGAGCAATTTATATAAAATAGCTTATTGTGAACTGAATGTTCAACAAACTGATATATCGCGTAATTAATTTTTTCAAAACTCGATATGATTGCTGTTATTAAAATTCCCGACAGTTATTATTGAAAATGTCATTTTCAGGTTTATTGAAATAGCCAGTTGTTGAAAGATAAATTTTTTGTATGTCTTTCAAAAATAGATACTTGAACGACGCTATTAAAAAGAATAATTTTTTTGTTTGCAACAAGAATAAAGTCCACTAATATGTGCATTGTTAGAATATTCTTTCTACACTTACGAGTCAGAATTAAAAGCTACACTTGGTTATATGGAATAATATCATGTCTAATATGAAAGAAAAAATGCTCATCAAGCCACCTCTCGGTATAATAGAACAAGTGCTTACGGCGTGTTTCCGTAAGTAAAGAATTCTGTAAGGTCAGATTTCATTTCTGAGTAGAAGCTGTGAGGTAATAGTGCGGTTACGTTAATAATGACTATGGTGAAGTAAGCGGAACTCTTCTTCAATCTCAATCAAGCTTTGCAAACAGAAGAGATACAAGTGAGTAACTTGTTATCTAGAAATTAAAAGGCGTCCCTTAGACAAAAGTCATCAAGAAGAATTAAAAACGGTCTCGCAGCAAGAACAAAACTAGGTTCGGGTTTCATCGTATAATCGAGCTAATGAATCGAATTACAGTAGTAGTTTGACGTAAGCGTGCATCTGACAATGGGGCTACAATGCCGCTGAGCAACAGCAACGACTCACTCATCTCCGTTGTTGTGAAAGCTGGTAGTAATGTGGACTGCTGCAGGCGTATAATAGTTCACTTGTTGCCCGGCAACGTTCGCCGTCGGCCAGCAATTTTTTCTGGCGGCCCGAGCTTCTTGAAATTCGCGGCATTTCGATCGCAGAAAGCTCTCCGTCATCAAATTCTTAATGAAGCTTGTGCACGCGACGGCGTTACGAAACAGCAACGCGCTCTCATCGAAAACGAAAATGAAGGAGTGCCTCTCGCAGGAGAGCCGCGCGTATCTCGTGACAACAGACAGTGTCGCACGCACCAGATAATCTACTGCTAAATATAGATTGCGCGCGCACGCAGCCGATGGCCGAGCGACGAAGAGAAAAAGACTACCAGTACCGGTTACTGGCGCGCACTGAGTCTCGCAGTTCGATTGCGCTTGGCTAAATTGCTATCCTTCTCTATTGCGATGCTGCTATGCTCGCAGCTCTCCCACCTCTTGCCTCCCTCTATCTGCTTGCAGGCGACTCGCTCGCAGCGCTCTGCGAAAGCTTGCGAAAGCCGTCAAAGGAACCGCTCTTGCTCTCTTGCCCAAATCTCGCACAGAGCCAGGCTCACCACTTCACTTTCATTTTCTTTGATAACAAGCGTTCCGTAATCTCAAGCGTGTTCAAACTGATTGTCTTGCTAGGTTAATGTTACTGCATGCCGTGTCGCTATATAGATTAGATAAACTTTGTCATTCTGCATGCACTCTGCTGTTTAGATCATGTTCTACGACGAAAATATCCTAGATACATTTTGAAATACGAGTATAACAGTTTACAATAAGATAATAGCATTTCTATAGCATTATTACAATTTTTATAAGCATCCATTCAATACATTAAAAGCTTCCGAGAAAGAATTTCAATATAAATTATTGCTCCGATTTTTTGAATTTTACAGTAGATATTTAATTTCAATCAAATTTATCGCAATTACTATTATTACGCTCTCTTGCACAAAATCCGTAAAAATTTCCATTGCTTACGATTTCTTGAATAAAGATGTTTTCGCTGTTATTATTATAGTAGAGAGTATGTATAGAGAGTTTATAACTTTTGTTCATCAAACTACATTAACAAAAATTCAAGATAAAAAACAAATAGTAGATATAAGTCGACACGCGATTTTAATATAAGTTTTTTTTTGTATTTTGATGAAAACCGTATTACAATTTATATTCATTGTATTGTCGAATGCACACTCATTTTTATTCATATAACAAAAACAATAAAAGGGAATAAATAGAGTTGTACGTTCTGCGTAGTTAATTAAAACCGATAAACGAGTTTGTCATCAAATTACGTAACTGCCGTCTTGCTAACTCTTTCTCCCTTTTAACTGTCCATTAACTGTCCTATGCCAAGAAATTCAATCCGATGAATTACGTTGATCATTCTAATGGATGATGCATATGCAATTACTGTTTTGACTCTGGCGTCATAAATTTTGCAAGGTTGGATACTCTGGTAATTGTAATACATTGTAATGTATAGTCTTAAAAATGTTACCAATTTTCCAGATTGAATCGGTGCTACCATGCGAACGTGTGTTATATTGAAACGAAACGGCACGCGATTATTATACGAACGACATATTCTCGATCAACGTCAAAATAGTATGCAAATCACTAACGAATTTTTATTAACATTATAATTTTATGCCATGAAAGCAAGTCAATGGTTAAAGCCTTGAAAGTTAATAATAAAACTTTTTTTTCATAAAATCTAAATCAACGTGAAAATCTCAACTCACAATTTCACAGTTATTAGTGATATGTGAACACGCACGTTTTCCATGCGCGTTATTAAAAATGAAACGGACCAATAAAGCTGTAGCGTACTTTATATCTGCCTACAATTTAGTTGGTAACGAAAATGAGAAATGCTTTTAAAAATTATTTAAAAATTCAATATGTTTTACATGTTAGCCCTAAAAAGCAGCAAATATTTCGAACATTTGTTTATAAGATATTTTTTAAATTAATTCCTTTACTTTTTTCGATTTATGTCCCAAGATAATAAAGACCTCGGTGTGCAAAGCTAATATTTTGACAAACTTAGTCCAATAACTACACCAGAATAGATGAGCCTGCAGCTTGCACGGCTCAAGTAAAAAGCTAAGCTGTCGCAAGCGCAAGATAAATTGCTATTCCAAAAATAACAAATATGTATGTGAAGCACCGGGTGGCCACGTGAATAAAGAAAAAGCATATTATTAAATAAAGCCAAATGCGTTGAACTAACGTATATCACTGGCACTCATCACTCTGTAAGTATTGTCCGTCAGCGTCGCAGAATAGATACCCTTTTGTATGTTCGCAAAAGTCAGCGAGTATCCTTAAGTTCACGACACGCACCCTTCATGTGCACTTTATAAATTAAAATACAACATTATAGAAATGGGTTTAGAAGAGTAAATACGAAAATCTGGTCCTTTCATATCCTTTCGAATAATAAGAGTAAAATTTTCAAAAATAAAAATAATTCTTTTTAAAATGCTTTCGGTGTACTAATTATACGTGTTGACGTCCTGTACGATTAAACCAAACTTTATTCTCCAAAAAAAAGCTTCAAAGCTTTTATGTCAACTTTTCTGTAAATTACATTTTCAAGCGTGTGTTAATTATTCCTCGGAGTGAGAAGAGGTCGTTCTACATTTGTGTGACAAACCAGGCTTGAGCACTTATTTTCATCACTTTCAGTAAATGTGCACATTGGATATATATTGAAAAACATTCGCTAAATAATGTAATTAGGAGACATTGTATTATATATTATTGATTCTTCTTTTCATCAGTATTTCTAATTATTATCGGATTATAGATCTAAGTTAAACAAATAAGAACTTCTTTTTCTCAAATAATTACTACTAAATTGATTTATTTTCTCCGGTATGATTCTGAAAATAAATGGTTGAGGCTGTTACTTAAGAAATTTAAGAATTCAATTCATTAAAATTGTCATTAAGTAAATTAATGACATACTTTCCACGTGAATTATTCGAATTATTCAACAATGGAAAAGAATTTCAATTATAAAATAACAATATATTTATGTTTTCAATCAGGTCAGCGCTCATTATTGATAACTTTAAAAGTCGCGTTGTAGTATGAAATTAGACACACACCAAATTAAGTATTTACAACGATCTTTTATTGCTGAATTATTTGGAGCGTAAAAAAATAAGTACTACGAAATTTTTAATTACTCGACATTATTAGAAGTGATGTACCAAATAACCTATAACCACATTTGGTTTGTGTACGTTTTACGTGATGTGCCAGGCTATGATTTCGGTTATTACAGCTCGAGTTTCAATTCTATATTCATAGTTTACACACTTACTCGTTAATTTTCTCTATATGTTTGTTTCAGTATCTCGAAAGATAACACTTTTATATCCTAGTTTTTTTTACATAAAAAAGGGTCTTAATATAAGTCCGAAAAGTAGAAAAAAGGATTACCTGTCGGATACCTATACCCAAATCGACATTTTTTAAATATTTTATGTGTATGACACAGTAAAAACGTAAAGCATTTATAAATTCACGTACAAAGTTAAAAAAATACTAAAATATAATAAAAAAGCTTCAGGTCTATCAAATGTATGACGAACGTTAGTAGTAAACACAGGGTTGGGTCATTCTATCAAAAAGCTTCCAGCAGTCGATTTCAGACCTCACGATTTTCGCTTCCGCTTTACGATAATTGCGAGGTCCGAAGTCAACTGCTGGAAGCTTTTTGACAGAATCGCCTAACTCTGATTAAACATCAAATTATAAACAAAGATAACAGAAGAAATTAATTTATGAAACAATTTAATAGGTTGCTAGGTGGCGTAAAAGAGAAATATAGATGAATTTCGAGAATATTCAATATCATACGAAACACAGTTATCAGTAATAATTTGAACAAAAAGATGTAATAAATAAAAATTGCTTATTATAGAGTAATTAAGCAACCCTCATAAAAAATCTTTTTTAAGTAATATAAAAGTATAAAAATTAATGTTTCTCCACTATGTAATAATTTTGTTCGTTAAAGCTATCAATCTTCTATGTAATATATAATTGATTTATTTTGTTGGTCATTCTTGCGTACTGAACGATTATGATATTTTGACAACCAAATTTAAAATCCAAATTATACCAATAGTTATAAACAAATTTTCACAAAAGTAACAGTAATGAAATTTTTTGTACCATTTTTTTGGATGTAAATACTTTGTAATATGACTGCACACAACATAAAGTAGAAATTGACAGAGAAAGTAATATTTATTGTCGAACATATAATAGATGCGTATAAAAAAATATTCTTTTGTTTTATGACACTATGACTTTGAAGCTTTTAAACGTTAATCTATGTATGTAAATTATGCATGACACTTTGATTACTTTTCTTTAATATTGATTATCAACACATACTAGTAGTAAAATAATACTAAAATATTCAACTTGTCACAATAATACACGAAAGGTGGATAAAAATTAAAAGAAAAATAGAATTTAATCCTCACCTGTTCTTTCTCTTGCTGATTTTTCGGCCAAAGTGTAGCAGAAACAATAATTTGCCCAAGATCTTGTTTTGGCCGTGCAGGGTCTTTGAGTTCTAAAGTAATATCTTGCATCTGACCTAATTCCAACTGCGTTAAATCGAGCTGTGCTGCACCCATGAAATCGTCTTGCAGACCCCAATCGTAATCAAAAACCTAAATCGTTAGAAGTAATTAAACATTCGATTGTAATTGAAGATAAAACAATGTCCTAAAGCGCAATAATGTTAATTATATACCTTAAAATTAAGAGGTTGGAACGGATCCTCGATTGGCAAAGAGATACTCTCATCCCAGACAGGATTTAGTTCTCTGTAAACTGTGCGCGACTTATGTAACAGGCGACCGGAACATTTTATTTTTACGTAAGGATCACTGAACCCTATAGACAAATAAATTTATATATTATAATTATTATCAATAGATTTAAGTAGCGAATTTTATGTTACAATGAAATAACTGAAATGCATTCAAAAAAACACGGTAATAGAAACAGGGGGACCGATCTGTTATGTAAAATTCATTTTTCATCCAAAATATAAAAGAAAGAAAGAAATAAAAAAAAAACATAGCAATTGCTCTTGAATCTGTAAGTGTTTTTATCCAATGGCAACACGTGAATTCGTACTGATTCTCACCCTCTTTGGCACGGTTATCGTCCTCGGATATCTCGAATGTAAACGCGTTATATGTACATATGGCCAATTCCACAAAAAATACATTGATTCAGTTTCGTTATTTGGCGAATGTTCAAAAATAGAACTCTCATTAAGGGATTTCATTATTCTCTGTAATGTTGCCTATCTACAAATAATTTAGTTCTCCACTGTGTATGCTTATGACGTCCATTTTCTGCCTATAGAATTGTTGGCATCAATAAAAACAAAAATCTTTCTTTTATATAAGTTTTTGTATAATATAATTTGTTGGAATATGTAAGAAATCGAAGCATGATAGTGCCAATAAAATTGGAATAAATAAATAATAATCCTATAGGTTAAATACGTTATATAACACATATCTTAATTTAGTTCTATTCAAAATTTTGATTCTTGTCAAACTTTGTAAAGTGCTATAGCATTTTAAGCATCGTGAGGATCGAAATTTTGGATAAATAAGAGAATAATATATGGTTTTTAACATATTATAATTCTTTTTCGTCCTTTTTTTGAAACTCCAATGAATCATGAAAAAAAACATTTTTTTTTATGAATTTTAGCTGTTCTACAGACAACAATGAATGATACAAACATCCGCGGCGATGGGCATAAATATTTTCTGGTTCTATCAATACCATCGATAACACAAAATTAAAAACGTGCACTGAATTTTAATATTTAGTAAAAAAGATATCAAATTAATGCATTTTTTATGGAATTTACCATATAGAGTGATTCATGCACGCACAAAGCCACGCCGACATCATCAGACGGCTAGTGAATAGCAAGCTGGCCGCCAGCAATGTGAGCTTTGGCGGGATTTTGACGACTCACCGCATCGATCCATTGCCACGAGATTGGCACCTCTTCGCAAGTGAAGTCGTAACTGGAAGAAGGCATGCTGGCGGAGAGCAAGTTCGCGGCGTCTCGTGTTTTCATCTTGCAGAATGTCGACTTTGACGAGCTCCGGATCGCCTTGAGTTTCGCCAGGATGCTTATGCGAAGCGTTGATATCGATCGATTGCTGATTGGCGCCAGCTGGGCTGCTGGTCGACGCCACGGGAGCACCCGTCGGCGCCGACGTTTTCGGTGAGCCTTCGCTACTGCCTCGGGCTGGGCTGTCATCCTGCACTGCCGTCGCTTTTTCGTTGCGACTCGAGCGTACCAAAGGAGATTCTGAAATGACAAGTGTAGCCGTGCTCTAAAAAAATTTACTCTTCTTTTTACGTTTCTTTGTGCATTTGACGAATGACATATTAGATCGAATCCATCTCATTCTAAACGATTAATCGTTCACTATATTATCAAGAGATAAATGTTCAACAACGACACTCGACTGTTTTAATGGCTTGTGATTTTATAACAAGTTTCTACCGTGAAATAATTTGTTGGCACATAGCCAGCATGTCTATGTAATTTTCATTGCACAAAAATGCTATCACAAACGTTAACACTTTGTATCTCGCGAAGACTGTCGCCCAGTTGAATTTCAGTAAGAAAAATTAGGTATCGTAACGTTATAGTATTGGTGTTATTCGCGGACTCACATAATCGCTTCCCACGGTTACCTAACTTTTTAATATCTCAAAAAATCTCACTTTAAATATTTTAGTTTATATATATATATACCTACATCTTGTAAAATATAACAGGCCGAGTAAATGAAATCTATACATCTAGATAAATGGCTGTCTTAAAAATATATGAATTGTTGAAAATCATTTACACGTAAATATGAAAATTCAAGTCGTTATAATGTAATGTCATCACAAAAGCTTTCATTATTGCGTTTTTTTCATCTCAAGAGACCTATCAAGCACTTATCTAACAGCAGGCTTTTCATAGCAGTAAGAGTAAAGTTAACAACTAACATAAGTTCTGCTAATTATTTTATTTCTTTTCTTTTTCTATAACTTTCAATGCATTCTTAGCCAATAGCAAAGTTTCATCTAATTGAGTTAGTATTGCAACAATTGCGTCACGTAAATTAATTTACGTTACGTACTATTGCAATTAAATCTTAAATTATAAAAAAAAATTATCGTACACATTACCTACAAGCTTATAAATTTAAATATATTTTCATTTGTAAAAAAAAATAATTATAAGTTTACATTTGTTACCAGGAAAGTCTAAATATAATTTCTCTGACACTTTTTGGATTTACTAGTACTTATTCTTCTCGTTTATATTCTCAATATTCCGAAAATAACTCAAAGGAAGAAAATATTACGAAACGTAATAGGATTAAATTACATAGATATTATTTTTGTCTAATTCTCCTTCCTTAATATAAGTGTAGATCGTTGAAAAAAAAATGATTTTTTAAAACGGCTTTTTTGGTCATCTTTTTCACTAAATGAAAGTTGATGTGATTAAAAATTATTGAAAATATTTTTATGATAACAATCAAAAACATGAGTTATGAAAAATAAATTAGAAAAATGTGGTTTCGGAAAAATGATGATTCATTGTCTATCGTAGTCTATGGCTATTTCTTTATTTAATATAACTTATACCAAAAAATTATTGTGAAATATCTAATATTTGAAATATTTATGCAATAGTAATCGCAATAAGATTCAACGTTATAACGAGACTAGCGTTTAAAAGAATGACTCATAAAATGTAGTGAATAGAATAATATAATAATAACTAATTGACTTTTGGAGGGAGTATTCTTTATGAATATTAAAATTCCCTCTAGGATTTATTTAAAAGAATTTTTTTCATGAACTTTTATTACGACTTAATAATATTAATTTACTTATATATATATGTATGAATATATATATATATATATATATACATATTAGAATTTATAACTTGTATCATGCATTCAATAACCTGAAAATTAGTCTAAATTGTTTGAATTAAATGAAAAATTTTTCGTCACTAAATCTAAGGTTTAGTCAAGCAAAGAACCGTTACTTCAAGCAAGGTAAATTTAAACACTTATAAATCGACGAGGCCTTTTTCAAGTTCTCAAACCATCATATATCGGGTGACTTATACTTTTTGAGTACTGCTTTAAGGTTTTTATTTAAAAAAACAATAATAATAACATTTGACTTGAGTTATAGCACATCATTCGAATTTATAGTTTTATTTTACACGGTATAGTATAGTATCGTAATTGTTTCCATCACCAATAACTTCTATTTTCTAGTTCCTAAGGGATAATTAATATTAATAGACTCTTAGGTTGTTCTAGGGCTTTCAATTTACTTTTTAGGATAACGGCTTTCATCAACAGCTAATTCTTCGTCGAATTTTTCAAATACCTTTAAGCAAGAAGAATAACGAACAATAGTTTATTACAAATGTCGAGTTTAAGGAAAGCAGGTGCAAAATCAGATAATTTATATTTGTTATTACGCAGAGGTATGTCAGTAAGACCGACAGGTAGTCTGTGATGGTTCATAAACGCAGATTGCTTCGCTCGTATACGTATGTCGGTATGTGTGTGACTATGATACTTTATGCGCGTGGCTGTAAAGTTTATAAGAAGAATCGAAGCTGGTGCTACGCTTGTAGTGACGTAATAACTAAGTTACAAGATCAGTGTTAATCATGTGGATCCGTAGGAAAAACAACGGGAGAATACGTACCGGGTCGATTGAGGTAGTGTCTGGCGGGGCTTTGGTTAGCCGAGGAAGCTCTGCTGTGATCGGACGAGTAGTCGGCCGCGTAGTCGGACTCCTTGGCCTGCGAGTCGAGCAGGTCTTTGGACTTTTTGCGCTCCTTGCTGCGACTGCGCTGCCAGCGCGACTTGAGGCAGGCGAAGAAGGTGTGGGTGCGCTGGGCGACTGAGATGTGGCGGTGCGAGTGGCGTAGTCGCTGCACCACGCCGCTGGCTAGGTGCTCCTGCTGGTGGTGGAGGCCACGGCGTTCCGGCGAGCGGCCCGCCGACGAGCTCTCACCACCGCTGCACTCGCCCGCTCGCGCCAAGCCATTGTCGCGCAGCTCCGTCGCGCTGCGCGATAGCTGCCGGCTACCATTTAGGTTCAGCCGGGAACGTTCTTCCGTGCTCGTCTCGCCTGCAACGCACACATCACTTCTTTTTTTACTTTTGCCGATAACTCGATCAATTAAGCCTTGTTTCGTTCAATTGAACACCTATCCACTTACCGCTAATTTTTTTTTCTTTGTCCTTACTTGTTTATTTACCCTGTCTGCTAGTGTATTATACGCGGAGTTTCCTTCCAGCTGTAAATTTTCACTCAAGTCTATAATGCGCCTTCTTTCATAAATCAGCTCCGTTTTATGCGATTTATTTTTGCATCACGTCCATGCGTCATTGAATGTACATTGTACTACACATCAATATTACTTAGCGCTATTTGAAACGCCCATTGATAAAATTCTCGAATTTCGATTCGGAATTTCATAAAAATAAATTCAATTCTAAAATTCTCAAATATAAGAGAGTTACTTGTCAAATTTTTTCCCTCATTAGAACGAAATTACAACAACCGAAAATCCATGTCGTAAAACATATGTATGGAAGAAAAAAACGTTTGGCAAGCTACGACGTTTCAAAATTAGTTTCGTTTATACTGTTCTAACCATGATATTTTTCAACTTCATGTCTCTGGAACTTTAGATTCTGATAGATAAAGTACACAGAACTAGCTAATCCGCTTTTTTAAATTTCAGCTTTTTCATCGGATGTATAAATACTAACAACTGATTGTGAATTCTCAACTCATTCAAGTTTCGCAGGTTTATTTGCTCAGCATTATTATATATATATTTATCTGTCTGACAGTCGCATGTAGTCTAGTTTTACACGTACGGTATGTGTGTAAACTTACATTATAAATGTACGGTTTCACTTGTATATCCATTCCATAACTTTATTACATTACGCCAATGTGTAACGAAAAATGGAAAGAAGAAATATCGAGTACGAATGGAAATAGTTCTTCTCTAATTTTTATACTGAAAGACGATTATTGAGGAAAATATGAAAATACGAGGGCAAATCGCTACAAGTTGTACGCATTTGAAGCTATATAAAAAGAGCATTTTACAGTGAATTTGAAAATAGGACAATAGATATACTTTTTCGTATTTCCTATATCGACTACCGATGGCCCTGTTTCATAGGCATGCCATTATTTTTAAAAGTATTTTCTGGAATATTAGTAAACTCTAGTCTATATTTTTAACATCGTGTCCAGTATTTTTACCAGATTATCTAAAAAATATGTTATAATAAAAACGATAAAATAAAAAAGAATACAGTGAATAAAATCTTTGAAGAAATGAATGTTGACCTTCATTGACGTGACTAAAATGCTTCAAAGAATGACGTACAAATTTAGTCTTTAATGATTCTTCAGCTGATAAAATCCCACTAGATTACGAAGATGTACTTTCCATAGGATGTCTCGAATTTGTCCAAAAACATTGCTTATCCGATATTGAGATTTTAGGATTTTCTAGTACTAACCGAAACTCTGATTGTTCGTCTTGGCTGTTCCCGGAGTGAAGGAAAAATATAAGAAAAATTTATATACGAAACTTGTAGATATGTGCGTCTGGGAGGTGTAATGAGCTATGCCTACGCTCTCGAGAAAAGCGAAAAAGCACGCAACCGCGCGGTAAGAGATGGAGTGCGTTAATGCTGCAATATGACTTGACGAGACGGATTATCTGGAGTTTCTTAGAGCTTCGTCGCCGCCTAATTGGATCTCCACCGCGCGGTGCGCAGCTGCTCTTTGAATACGTGAGGTTTAATCGATCCAAGAGCCAACTGGAGCCTCCAGAACGGGCATCTCGAGCTTTGCCTTTTCTCCTGTCATTCTTTTGGCTTCTTTGTTTGGTTTCGCTTCTTGTTTTTCTTTACTCACCGATTAATTATATTATCACGGCTAAACTCGAATTCAAGCATTTCAGTCGCCACAATACATTTTAAACAATAGAAATCAACGTGCAAACAATTACAACACTGGTATTTGAGGCTACAATAGAAACCTGCATACTCATATGTGTCGATCATAAAATAGCAAAAAAGACTAGTCTCCATCCGGTATTTACAAAAAAAAAACTCAGGTGATTAATTGCCCATGAGAAATTCTCTTCTTTAGGCTGCGAGAATACTGAAGCATTAATGGTGCCTTTGTGCAAAATTAGGATGCACTCGGCCGTCATATACCTAACAAGCATGCAGTAGATATCAAAGTGCACTAGATTTTTTGTACCTGTAAGGTCATTGTATAGGAACTTATCGCGCATCAATTATTCTCTAATTTAAATAAACTCTGCTTTTAGATATTACAAGAGCTACTCAAGGCAGGGCAAACCAAAAACTTAAAGCTGGCGCTTAAAACTCCGATCAAAGAAAATCGAAAATAGCTGATCAATAAATGGTCAAGCATTGTTTAAGGGAAACAACATTTTGCAAGTTCTCGACTACGAATTTTTAGCGCTGAAGTTATGGTTTTCCAAAATCAAGATGTACAAAAGATCAGTATAGATACTTGCCAGACTACTGGCTTGAAATAAAAAACGTTAGCTCACCGTGCGAATGGTCAGTATCTTCAGGGCTCAGCAGTTCGACGCTTTTGCTCATTGTTCGGCCGTGATAGACAATGTAGTTGTAGTTGCTTAGCGAACCTCGGCTCCAGCAGCTGTAAGTACTTGCCGATGTAAGAGCAGCAGTTGGCCAGTTGGCCGGTATACTCTAGCATGTTCGCCGCGACGCTGCCCGCCCGCCTGCAACGGTCTACCCGAACGATCGATGGCCCCGAAGCGATTTCTCGGCATCGACCAGCTCCTGCTGCCGCCGCCGACGCTGTAGCTGTTTCTCGGAGACTTAGATTCCGTTCTTGCACGCATTAGTCCTTTATCTGAACGACTCTCACTATTGATTTTGCTTTTCTGAAATGAATACAACGATCATCGTCGTTTAGAATATACTGTTACGAGTTATTATTTGGTTAATTTATATTCGTGTGTCGATGGATTATTATTATTTATTATGTATTAAATCGGTCAAAAGAGAACACATTCACTCGTATTTCTCTTTCAATTTTCTAATGTGAAAGAATTTGATTCAATAGCCTTACGGCCGTCATGTGTCAATGTTTACAAAAATAGTAGATATATTGTGGTCGTTTTTCGTCCTGTCCTTCTCCGACATGCGGCGCGACCCCTCACTGACCGTAAATTTAATATCAGTAAATAAACTTATTAATGCAGACGTCAGTGTACAAGGGTATTAATCGTAGATAAAACGACATTTTATGGTATGGTCCATGCTTACATTTCACCAACGTGTCCGTTTGTTGAACATAAATACAATTGTTTAGACAATGATCGAAATATTCAATCGCGTGTAATAGTGCGTTTTCAGTAGATTTAACAAAGTTAATCATATCTTATATCTACTACGTTAGTTGACGATTGAAATCCATTGTTATAGAGAAAACATTTGATCATTATGAAAGGTTAAATATTACAATTTTTCATAATTTAGATAAAGTATAGATAAAATATAAAATATTATAATTTTTTATAAATGCTTTTATCCAATTGTAATTAGTAAAATGTATAGTTTGTATGAAACTAAAAAATACAAATTCTTTGTATAAAAAAACAATTATACTCAAATTAATTAAAACGTTTTAATTAAAAGATAAACAGCAAATAATGAATAATTGGAAGTGTGAAGTTTGTGATTACACCTTTGAAAGCGAGGATGACTTAAAACAACATTTTCTTACTAGAAGTCATATAAAAAGAAATTCAAGAAGTAATTCAGTTTACATAAGTGGAATTCCACAAGCACCTAATGTTTTGAATGACTTGTTAAATTTTTTGTCGCAGACTGGTAAAATAGTGAAACACAAAACACTTGGAAACAAAGAAGACAAAATTCTTGTTGAATTCAGTAAATGGTAAATTTGAATTCATTTTTTTACTCTTTTGATTTTTGTAAACTTAATTTCATTTTTTGTCCACTATTGTATACAGTAATTTACTTATAATAGAATTACTAATAATTATAAAATTTAATATAGAAATTTTGTATGAAAAGTATATATATATATATAGTAAAATTTTTTCCAGTGAACCTATTAAAATGATTCTATCTAAAGGAATTCATATAAACAATGTTAATTTACGTGTTAATCGAGCACAAATGACTTATGAAGGTATTTAATTATAAAATGACCTTTAATAATTATTATTTAGTTTTATTTTTAATCATTGCATCTTATATTATAGAAGACTGTGCACATAACATTAGTTATGAAGCTATCAAAAATGTTTTTACTGATGACAGTTTTGAAGAGCAACTGTACAACTTTATTAATAAAATATCTCTTACACAAGTAGATATTAAAATGAATTATGAACCTGTCTGTCAAGAATTAGAAAACATTTTCAAACCTATTTTTCCAAAGTGCAGAATTTTCAAATTTGGTTCATCTGTTACTGATATAGGGTTTAGAAAATGTGATTTAGACATATATTTGGATATTGGTAATTTTGTTCAAATAAATAATACTTTGTATAATTTATTATAAACCCATTTTAAGTTTTCAGACCTTTATCGATATTTTTAGGAATACCTGTTATCAAAGCGAATAAGAAGTCTACTATTGGACCACATGTCCTTTCTTCAGAGATATTATTTACTATAGTTGAAAAGACCATTCGGTCAAACTATAAATTTTCTAGATGTATTCCAATTCCAACTGCAAGAGTACCAATAGTAAAGTGCTGTTATTCTCCAACAAATGTTTCATGCGATATTTCTTTCAAGAGTAAGTTAGGAGTTTATAATAGTAGTTTACTAAAATTTTATCTTTCCATTGATCCTAGATTTAGACCATTAATGATTATTTTAAAATATTGGTATTACAATTGTGAATTGAGAAGTTATATTGGTATAACAAAATATGCATTGACTATATTATACATATTTTATCTTCAAAACCTTGGACTAGTACCTACAACTAATAGTTTAAAAGAAAAATGTACAGTTCCTTTAGTTATAAATGGATGGCAAGTCAATTTTAGTGAAAATTTAAATGATTTTGAAATGAATGAAGACAATAGATATAAAAGCATTCCTGAATTACTTTTTGGATTTTTTGATTTTTATATGAAATATGATTTTCAAACTTATATTGCTTGTCTCTGTGATGGGCAATCATATGAAAAAAAATTATTTTATGAAATAGAATTTCTACCAGTATCTATGAAAAGTTATAAAGAATATTTAAATGGTTCAGTTGATCCTAAAGCTTTTAATTTACGTAGACCTATGTGTGTCCAGGATCCAACTGAATTGAATTGGAATGTCACAAATAATGTTTCAGCTGAATGTGTTGATAAATTTCAATTATTTTGCTTTACATCTGCCAACATTATTGTTAACTCTTCGAATAACAATTACCAAACTCTACTCAAAGATCTCTTTGGTTTTACAAATAAATCCATAATTAATTATGTCCCACCTGTACCAGACAAGAAAAGATTTTCAATTTGTCCATATGATATTTATGGTGCACTAATAAATTTAGAAAAAGTTAGTTTTGATAATGATTGGGTTGACTCAACATTTAAATTGATACAACAATATTTGGAAAAAGTTTTAAGTTTCCAGGTGAAAATAAATAATGACAGTAGCCATTTAAATCAAACAATGGATCATCAGATTTTAGTACTCATTTGTAAAGGATCTCACTGCTTATGGAAAAATCGCAAATCTATAAAAAATGTTGATAAAAGTGAAGATCCTTTTCAAAATGAAATAAATATTTCCAAATCTCTGTTAAGCCAAATAAATTTACAATCTGACAATGCATGTATTATCGATTTTGAATGTCAACTTCAAGAAAAAAAGGAACCAAGATCTCATATTATGGTGACTTTATCCAACATTAGAGGTACTAAACGAATTTTTCAAGAGATTGCTAATGATCTAATGTACAGAATGGTATCTGTATTGAGAAAATTTATCAAGTTTTCATTTAAGAATAAGCCTTAGATATGGCCATGGTTGAACAATCTTGAGTCTTTGTTTTTTATTATTATTCCTTTATAAAAGAAAATGTATTTGAAAATTAATATAAGACTCATATAACATTTAGCATGTACAACTATTTTACATTTATAAATACGACCACGTGACTGTATATTCAGATGAATATTATAAAATAAATTTTATCAAGATCACTGCATTTATTCATTTTTGACTAAATATCTATAATTTATAATCCAGAATTAAAACCTTTATCTCCACTAATAAATTTCAAGATTTACTAATTTATATTGAACGAAATTAATGTGAAAACTACATTACCTTTCAAAATTCGACAAGAGGAAAATAATATTAACTTAAAATTTAGTCATTATATCATCTTGTAACTTCAAGAACTGTCGAATATTGCAATTATAATTCAAAGGATAACAAAACTATCAACAATTCATGCCACTGGGCAAGCAGAATAGGAGATCAGAATAGTCATTTTATTGGTAAATAAAACTACTCCATTACCTGCGTCACGAAAAGCCATCCAATTTATTGGTATCGGGGCATATAATTATAATCCGATAGACTTGATTTTTTTTGTTCTTCTTACCTTATTATTAATAATAAATAATTTATTAGTTGATGTAATTTTATTCTTGCTATACGTATAATATAATTGAAATCAGAAAAAAACTTTTAAAGCTCTATATACTTGATTTTTTTTTGTTTTTATAGCTAAATGTGCTGAAAAGTATAATTCATTAAAACCAAAAATACTGTTTGAAATAATTAGGTCGATATTTTTATCAGCAACACCATTATCGTATTAGAAGCTCAGCAAGAATGCGTATAATATCGCCTCTCTACTTAAAATTAGTAAAGAAAAAAATTATTGGCTTGAAAATCGAATTAAATAAACAAATAGCTATGTTGAAATAACATAATTATAAGCAATTTTCATTCTCAAATACCTCGAGATGAAAAATCGATATTTGAATAAACACGTTCTAAAATTAAAATTGCTGTAATATGTAATTAGCATAAAAGAGTCAAATTATTTGAGTGGTTTTCAATTTTCGTCAACTATAATTTTTTAGTCAATGTTTTCTAAAAATGTTATAAAGAAAAGAAGAGTTTGCAGAAACGAACATTGAAGCTGTTCGTTATATTTTTTATTAGTCACGCAGAAAACGTGACGCAAAGTTCACATAAATTCCTTAATCGTTAAAGTTCAAATATTCTCTTATCATAACTGCGCTATAAAAATATAAGTATAAAGATTTTGTATCACAATTAAGGGTAACGATATCGAATCTGCCCTTGAACTCTAAAAATGATATGTTAGTTATATTTTTCGGTCATTTGAAAAGATAAGATAAAAATGGAAGTTAACCTAATGATGAATAGAGAATCCCGAATATAAAGCTGCATAATACGACGATGACACTATTACATAAAAATATAATATAGAGGATGAACAAAAGCAGCAATAAATGTTTTATAATTTACTTGATTGACCGTCCAATTAATATCCGGTCGAAGCGGAAGTCCGGCCGTGCTCGATATGCACAGTTTTTACGGCCTAACGTTAAAAAATATTGATTTGTACAGAAGCTTGACGCCACACAACCAGGCTATACCAACTACTACTGCATAGGTCAACAAACTTATACTTGCTGCTTTCATCGTTTACCATTTTTCGTGCCTCTTGACTGCACGGAGATAACAAACAATTAAATCTCGATTATGCAATACATGATCCGTAATGAAAAATAAGTGCTCAATAATATGTAAAAGCTGTAAGGAATAAAGTAAAGCAAGTCCGTTAAACGAGAGTAAATATGTAATGAAGTAGCAAGAGCGTATTTTGTCTTTAATCAATACCAAATTCAACTGGGCCGAATGTCCCAAGAGAAGAAGGTAAAGAGAGGAAAGCTGGGATCGATTGGAAATTGAAGTAGCACGCGGACCGAGAAAGCGCTGGCTTATCCCCGTGGCTGGCGCGGGTCCTTTATCATCGAAACTGCGTGCGTGCTTTGAGCGCGAGCTGAAGCACGCTGAATTATTGAAGTCGTGACACAGCCGCAACCGACGAGCTCTCCAACGAGAAACCAAGCGTACAATGACTACATCTCTCTCCCTCTCTCTCTCTCTCTCTCTCTGTCCCTCTCTTTCTCTCTCATCTGTATTACGTAGTGCCAGACCCAACCAACTGCTTATCCCATGCACTCCAGTCAATGATTGTTGTGACCCTTTCCTAAGTCGGTATAATGCGCAGATTTGTCGCGCATTGTACGCGCCACCTCGACAACTTCGATCTACTGATATTACTTTTGCAACGCACGAAAATAGCATCGGCCAGCAATCTGTTATATTTTATCACTTCTCTTTCTCTCGACACTTTTTTCAAGTGCCTCAAAGTTCAGTATTTCTAAAGTTTGATAATAACATTTTTTTTCTATGAACCTGGGCTAATATAACATTGCTTGCTTTAATGAAAAATGTCAACGTATAGCGAAGGAAAACTCATTCGTTCCAGTGCTTATAGTTTGTAGCTTATTCGCGCGCAAGCGGAAAAATTGAACGCTCGAACGTGCAGCTGTATAAAAGTACACCAATCGTTCTGCGGTCGTATATTTCCGAGATTAAGAGAGAACGAAGCTGCGCTTAACACAACGGAAAACATTGTTCATGGGTATACAACGTATGTGATGTGCAAAATATGTGCACCTGAGCAAATACTTTTTTCCACGTCCTATAAAGCCTACATTATTTTAAGAACTTTTATATAAAGTATTATTTCATTCTATTTATAGTGATAATTACTTATAATCATAGTTGACCTATTTTTAAAGAATGTAAATAATTTGATAGATTTTTTGATTGTATTATTATATAAAGTGATGAGCTATAGAAACAGCAATTAATCAAAAAACGTTTTTCATGTCACGATTTAGGTATAGCAACTTAACTTGTCACGTACGTATATACCAATTCACTACAATCAGCTAAGCATACCTATAAACCAGATATTGTTTTACTGAAAAATAGACACAGAAAAAACGACTTCTAATTTAGCAAATGAACGATAAAAAAGTTATTAATTTATATGCATTATTACCCTGCTGACTATATATTGTAACTCTCTTATTTGGATTCCTTAATGACTGTGTTTGCACCGCAACTTAAAGATTTCAATCAAAAAATTAACTTGTAGTAAATAAGCTTACGTAATTTGTAATCAACCTAGTTTTTTTAACATAAAAAATTTTTTTTACTTGTAGTAAATAAGTTTACGTAATTTGTAATCAACTTAATTTTTTTTTAATATTGAAAAATTCTTTTTATATTATAGACTTTTTAATTATATTCTTAAAATCTTTAAAGAACGGAAATAAGTTTATCAGAGAAGTCCATTAAAAAATGGCATAAGTTATTACGTCTGAAGTCTTATTGGCGACTGGTCTCTCATTAAATAAACATTTACGTTTATCTTCGGAAATGAGAAGGCAAAACGTGACAATCACAGATAAGTTTCAATATTAATAGGTTTAAAATATGCATGTTCGTATAATATCAAAATTTTATGAGTTTTCGCTGCCAAAATATCAATAGTTGTTTTTCATCTTCAAAAATTTGGCTATACTTCATTCCACGCTACCGTTAACGTCTGTATAATTAAAAGAGAAAAATTGATTAATGGAAAAAACTACGTAATGCCTCATCCCAAACTAAGGTGAACAAAGAATAAAGGATTTCAAAACTTTCGACGTAAGTTTCAAAATTTAATCTCGCGAACGAAAGTGCGCTAGCAACAACTTCGAAACAGTTTAGTACCCACACGTCGAGCAGAGAGCAAATTGCTTCGATACATAAAACCTACCTGCATATATATGTAGAGGCCTGATTAAGCTTTCTGTAGAATGGCTCGCTAATGAATATTCGCTTGCTGGCGTATTGTTCAATTACACGAAAACGGTACTGACTCTCAAGGTGTAACCTCCAAATTAGCCTCATTTCCACTTTACTTATACAAGCTCTCCCCCCTCTCTCTCTCTCTCTCTCTCTCTTGGTATGTATACGTACATGTATGCAAACTTCAGTTATATGGAGTGTGTCTGTGAGAGAGAGAGAGAGAGAGAGAGAGAGAGAGAGAGAGAGAGAGACGGAGAGAGACAGACAGACAGAGAGAAGAGAGAGAGAGAGAGAGAGCGTACGATACACGTGGAGTACGAGCATCATCCACAGTTCCCAAATGGCCTATCTTGTCAAGCATCCCCATACGTACGTAGTTCCAAGGATGCATTATTTTCACTAAACGGATCTTCATGCTGGATATCTTGCCATCATGCCAAACGTGCAATATATACTCTAGGACTCATTTGCTTATATTAATTGTTGTTTAGCTACGCACGTGGCAGAAACGTGCAGGTATATTTTGGCGATCGATCAAAGCAACCATTAACATGCGTGCTATAGAAAAGAATCACGAATCAAGCGAAACTCACTTGTTGACAGGACAAAGTTATTATCGACGGCGTCTAAGTAAAAATCTTGTCGTTCGGTTTGCTCAGCCTTCCAGCCTACATTTACAAAGCCTACATATCGATTATTTTAGGCAAATAGTGCATTATCGTTTTGAATGATCGGCCGTTTGCTTTGATTATCCATTTCTCTCGACTCATTTTCACACTACTACGCCTTTCGTTAGCCGTCGCAAAAATACCTGTAAGCAATGCTACTTTTACGAACCTGCAAAATTGTGCTATTTTTCGGTCAATTACACTTTCTAAAAATAAAAATGCCTTCTGAGAAGAAAATAGGAAAAAGTTGGTGCACCGCGAATGGTGTACATGTATGTAGTGTGTGTGTGCACAAGCGAATTGAAAAAGCGCACATTTGTTTGCGCAGCTACTCTACGTAAGTTGGGCTTTTCCTCGCAGCAGCCTCTCTTTCTCTCTTTCTCACGCTCTCTCTTGAAACGAAAAAGCAGGTTGTAATAAATGCTTGTACAAGCGAAAACCGTTTAATTCAGCATACGCGTATATAAGCAATGCGCGATAATGAGGGAATTGGAGATAAGTTGGGCGGTCGTGACCTTTCCGAACGGAGCTATTTGCGAACGATGACATGGATGTTACAATATAAGAGTATTGTAAAACCTACCGAAAGTAAGGAAACGTGGACACGGCGTGCGTCTCATTGAGAACTGAAGCCCGCAGAGCTCAAGTGCTACGAGCAGTAGTAGTCAGAATAAGAGAAGTGAGCTTATTCTTCCGGTATAGTCGCGCACCAATTTCTCGGCCTCCCGGCACATACGAGCTTTCCTGTCTCGGAGGACGACCGAGCTGATTGCGCGCGCGTGTCACTCGCGCACTCGCTGTTTCTGTCTTATCGCGGGTGGCGCGTGCTCGACTATACTAATGAGCGAGCGTCGGCTCGTTAAGCGAGCGAACGGGAAAAGGGGCTTTGGTGTGCTGTCGACGCGCGGGTGGCACTTGTTTCGGTTGGCGAGCAGGCGACGCGGCGCTCGACAGCCCACTGACGGAGCTGCTGCCATCGCCGTCGCTGCTCGCATGTCTGGGACGTGCGACGCACGCGCGCGTCAGAGGGTGGTAAGCACTCGGAAGGGGTGGTGATCCGTAGGGAGAGCGCTCGCCAGACAAGTCAACCGGGATAACCGAGTCGAGTAAGCAGCGACAACAGCCTTTAACCGTCTCACGCGAGTTCACTCGAAGCCACGGTTTGGCGCGCTGTAGCACAGTAGAACATCGCAGAGTCCAGTCATACGCGGCTGTGTAGCCTCCCTTCGAGCGGCGATACCAGCCCCAATTCAGCTCAACCCAAATCGAACTACGAGACCTATCTACTCCGCTCTAAAGATATATTAGGCGACGGCGCCGGCGCCGGCGACAAATAGGCGCGCGAACCGACTGAAAAAGAAAAAAAGAAGAATGAGAGAGTGAGGAGAGAGAGAGGTCAGAGGTGAGAAGGAGGCTCTATCGACCGCGCGCTGAGCTGATCCAGTAGCGCTTGCTTGCGCCCCCCCCCCCCTCCCCAACACTACTTTCTATACGTGAGAGGGAATAAAACACAACTCGAGTTATCATACACGTGCAATAGTCTCATGTCGCACTCGCTTTCGTCGTTCGTCACGTATATTTAGCAGGAGAGAGAGAGAGTTGAAAACCCGTTTGACCGTATGCAGCAGCATTGCTCTCCGATATCTAAATCGAGTCGCTGCGCTCATGGAGGCGCATGCGCTACCTTCGCATTATGTTTGCAATCAACGTCGGAATATTAGTCAGAGAGAAGCAAAAGGATTTGTATGAGTGTATTGTAACGCTGATAAGGAATAACCGAGATTGAGGGACGATGGGAGCCGGGATACAATTCTTCTTCTCTCTCTGTAGGCAGTCTGCGACAAATCTCGAGGATCAACCCGAACTATACTGATTTTGTTGACCTACTTTTCCGATACACTGGCCCCACACGCATAGTCTGTCATCCCTTCAGTTTCTGACTCATTTTCAACGATATATACGCGCGCGCGTGTGTGTGTGTGTGTGTGTGTGTGTGTGTGTACGTGTGCGTATGTATATAACTGCGCCCGCTAAGTGCTTATTGGCCTTTGTTTGTGCGCTTATGAATACGCTGATTATCCATTCGCGCTAACTTAGCGTATGTTTTATCGTTATACGTATATGTTCCACGTATAAGTGTCATGTTTTTACCGATGCTTGACTCGACGAATTCATCCAAAAATTAATGAATTCCTAAATGACACATCTTCGGGATATTTATGTAAATCATGTATTTTCACTTTTGACTTCTAATTTTCGCTATCTCTGGGTGCTCTCGCGTGTATATATGTAAATGAAATTCAACTAATTCGCAATCGGCTACAAATTTTATTTCCCTAAATGTTGCTTAGCAAACCCAATCAAGTTTTGCCAAAATAGATTGGAGATTTCCAAAAATATTCTTTCTACAAAACAGACGATTAACAGAGAGGAGATTAACAGAAGATTAACAAGTGGCCATTAAGAGTAAAATGATCATTTTTTATTTTCTACGAAAAAATTACTTAATAATATGCGGCCGAGTGAAGTCTAAAAAGATAATCATCGCTACTTCCTCAGACATTTATAAAATTGGATTAGTTAAAGTATTCTCATCTTTTTTTCAAGTCCGGAGAAAATTATGTATATAAACCTTTCTTAGAACATTGCAAACTAATGTGACATTCGACATCGAGTATAATTTATAATTACAATAAGTCCTGAATGTTATAACTAGTTTGTAAAATTCAATTAAGCAGCGCAAACATGTGTATTGTCATATGAACTATTTACTAGTTAATTTCGTCTGTATCCAGTTTACATCACTTAATCTACTATTATATAAATATCTAGTACACATACATATTTTGTTATCAAATACCGATATTAACATTCAATAAAGTGCCAAATTATCACATTTTTATCTAGTCAAAATAACAATCATTGTACATCACAATTAAGTTCGTTATAATTTCAGCTTTCTTATTTATTTCGTCGAAATCTTGCGTATGAAATGTATGTATAATTTGAAACTTCTTGTTAAATAAATTTAAAAAATATTCTATATTCAGTGGCCAGTCGCGAATAATCCATTTTTTTCAACTATAATGATCATATAACAAGATAATTAAATCAAACTTTTCAAAAGGATAATGTATTCTGATTGTATTTTTGAATAGGGAAACAGAAAATTGATTTGTTATAAATATTAAAATATTTAAATTAAAAAATCCACAAGCTCCTGTCCATGAATCTAAATAAGTATACCTCAATTGCTATTAATGCATATTAAAGAAACATAAATATATAAATCAATAAGTTTTAGGAAATGTTCAATAATCAACAGTAAATTACTGTCATTACTTTTTTTATTTTATGATTTATAAAAAATTTACAGCATACATAGTATGCAGCAATCAACCTTTATTGGTTTTTACATTTTGACAAACATTTTATACAGTACAGGAGGGTACGAAATCAGCATGCGCACAAAAATATAAATAAAAATCATTTTAATTCACAAATACCTATCTATTTACATTTACAAAAGTTATAGACATTTTCATTTTTAAAACTATTTTTTTGCGATTCAGTTCGATAAAGCTTTCAATTCGCGTATTGCGAATCTATATAAATCTATTTATAAATTTTTGTAACCATTTTCTCCATTAATAATAATTCAATACTCTTTATTAATATTTTTATTTCACGCAAACGTGACATTTTCATTACTAGAAAAAATAAATCATAGCAAAAATTATTGTAACTGTTATACGCAGTAATACGTGTGATAATCAAATTTCTTTAAAAAATAAAACATTAAACCTTTATAATCGAATGTTAAATGTAACTAAAATTCTTTTGAACTTTTATTTTATGTTCAAATTATTTTGTATTTAATATTTCTTTAACAAGATCATTGTTTTATTACATTGTTATTTATTTAGATGTAAAAAAATAAATATTAAAAAAAAATGAATTTATTAATTATTTAATAGTCAGATTTACTTCAACTATCTAAATTACATTTCTCTAGAAAAATATAATCCCTTTATTTATCTAGCAATAATTTACACAATTTGGTCAAATATTTTGTTTTATTCAAATTCAATTTTAGAAAACTGAAAACCTTTTTATAATGCACGCAGATTTATTTTATTTTCACGTTAAATATATTTAGAAACCAATGATGTAGAATGAATTATTTTACTAAATGTAATAAATTGTAATATTAATACTTAATAGCAATGTTTTTACTGCAAATCTAAAATAGTTTCATCGTTTTAAGTATTACTTATCAAATAATAGATTATTGAAAATTTTTATTTTAAAGTCAAATATCAGAAAATTACAATTTATTTTACTTATATTGGGTTAATATTACGTGTAATACCGAGATCAAAATTTTTAAATTGTTATTTTTGATTTTACACTTCAATTTCCGTAAACATTTTCAAATTATAAAAACATTGCATTTTGTTAAGGTATCAAATAATTTATATGTAAATTTAGCCTCAGAAGTTTCAAGCGTAAATATTTTCTTCTTGGCAGCGGACTGAAAATGCCAATTTTTCTTTCGCTATTCAAAAGGAAAAGATGCATTTTCTCCTTGGATGAGCAAAATGTGCACTACAGGATGTAACTTTGTAATTCGTGGCACGCGTTTAATCCGCTTTTAACTTGAGGGATAATTTAGGTGTGCTTCGACCTTCCTAATACTTTACTTCCCTAGGTATATCATATAATATTTAACAGATTAAATACAAATTTGAAAATAAGAAAAAACCCGCAGCAAAAAAATTGTATGCGTTAATTTACTATAATTAATCTGGAGTCGTAAATTTAATTTGTACTAAGTTTTATTTGACATTTTACTCAACTTGAATCGCGTATCACAGATTTTACTGAAAATGCCGTATTCACTTGTCAATTACCAACTCATAAAACGAAAGAACACAAAAATCGAAAACTGAACATATAAAAGTCGATGAAATAATTATTTACCCCACACATTATGCTTCATGATTTAATACATTTTATAATGTGAAGCGAATTGTAAAATTGAATAAATATTTAAATGCTTAAGCATCGACTTATTTAAAAAAGTGTATGGGGTAAATACTAGTGTTGGATGCTGAAAAGGACCTTCATTAGGAGTTTGTATTTTATTAAAAAAGATCAATGAAAGCAACAAGGATTCCTTTCGTTTTATACAGAGAAAACTACTAAGTTGTTCAATAAAGGTTAAAATTATGTTTATCACTAAGACCTCAAATAATTTGTTCTTTTTTCATAACTTTTGAAACAAAATTCTTGATAAGTATCTTTAAATACACTACAAATACAGAATTTATTGTTCATAACATTGTTTGAATAAGCAGTGTTATTAATGTTTATCTTTTCTTCATTGTCAGAAAATAAGCTCCATATAATAAATTCCAAACCTTATGGAATAATCCGGTATATGTACAATAAGCATGCAAACAATAATTGTACTTCCTCTACTAAATATTTTTTTCGAGAAAACGTACGAATTATGCAAGCTTTTCAAGATCTTTTGCGGCCGCCATAAGTCATTTTTATGCATTTCTAATTATTCTAGAGAAAATGCATTATCGTGAATGAATAAGATAATCTAAACTTTATCAAGATCTCCATTTTTTTTTCAAATTGTGGCATTAGCAAAACTTACATGAATAACAAAAACTTTCGTTTGCGATCAATTAATTCTAATGACTATGATAATGCAGCAATTATTTATACAGCGAAACCTTTTAATAAACTTGTATTAATGCTTGCTTCATATGGAAGAACTTACGTTCATCGTTCAAAGCGTAAATAATATATAATCAATTCAATAATTCTTTACTAGTGACGTAATTTATCTACAAAATAAAGTTCTTTTCGATGATAATTATAACCAAACTAAACGTTATCTTTAATATGAAGATCTGAAATTTACAATCTTTTACTTTATACAATGTGTAATTGTGATGGCTGTGGCTTATAAAATTATTATTCAAATTAGTACAAGTACATGTTGTAAAAATTGCCATACTAATCAAAACCTAAACAAAGTTTACAAAGAGCTTTGAAGTCACGGTGTTTCTATGTACAGTATATTATCTGCCGAAGTAGGATGTACAACATATTTCCATGTTTCTTTACTATTCAAAAAGTCACATTCTTTATACTTGAAACAATAAACAATAAATCTTTAAAACTATCAAGTGTTTTTTTAGTACATAGAATGTTATGTAAAAGAAGTGTATTAGATGATATGCAAAAATCGCTTATTTTCTAAACAAAAAATTTCAGTAATTTTGAAAAATAATATTTGTACATAATTTTGTACATTATTTTTGGATCAAGTATAAAAATCATTTGATTTACGAGCAGTAATTTTAAATGTTCTTATGTTAATATTAACTATATAAACAAATATCTCGTCATTATAAAAATGCACGTAATTTTTCCCAGAGTCAGTATAAATAGAAAAAAGTTGAACACTGAAAAGCTACTACGCAAACCTACTTAAAACTTTCTGATTACGAATGCTGACTTATTAAATGATCATAGAATCAAAGGAACCAAGTTACGCTTAGCCTTAGATATTTCCGTATCAATTATTGGGAAAGCATTACTCAGTTTATGTTCATGGTTGCAGACATGATAAAGAAAATAGAAAATACACAGTCGTATAAATGTACGTCGTGGACAAAATTATTTACAAGATTTAATAACTGCGCCGACCACTCTATTCTGTGGCGCAACACACAAATAATTATGAGTTCATGAGGCTTGGCTTGGTAAGAAGCAGTTTTTACCAAGCATTACCTCCGCGACCTCTGCCGCGAAAGCCAGCCGGTCCACCACGAAAAGGTCCACCTCGAGGTTTCATACCGCGCGTCGGCGGACACCCCGGTGGAAAGCCACTCATTAGCATGGGAGGACGTGGACCTGGGCCACCTCGGTCCATCCAAGGTGGCCTTGGACCACCAGCGCCGCGGAATGGTCCTCCTGTTCCGATACCTCGCCCATTGCCACCACCTCTCTGCATAGGTGCACCTCTGCAAATGAAAATAAATAAATTAAAAAGTTCGATCTCACAATCGAATCCTGGAATTCGATAATCAAATCAATTACGAAAATTCTAAATCATTAAGAGATTAAACACTAATTTATACTAACCTGCCATGTGGACTATCGAAAAATTCAAATTCTAGTTGACCGGGAGGGAAATCTTGCTGAGGTGGTGGAAAGCTTTGGTTGGGTCTAAATTCTTGTTGATTCGGATGGAATGGTTGATTAGGCCTAAAATCCATCGATTTGTTGTGACGAAAATCAGACTGATTTTGCTGAAAATTGATCTGTCCGGGATGAAACCCTGGAGGAGGTGGAGGTGGCGGCGGAGGCGGTCTCGTGTCTACTCCGTGTAAATCTGGCCCAACATTTCCACCTCGTTGAAGACCCTATTATATAAATGACATTATCATTAAGACGTATCACAAAAATATGTTTGCAAAGTCTACGAGGCATCAGTTATAATGAAATAACGAACCATTGGATTAACAGGAGGACCACCTGGGCCTGGCATCATCCGCATATCCATATCAGCTGTATGATGATGTTGCGGCGGTCCAGGTGGTGGCCCAGGAGGCATATTAGGCACTCGCATATCTCGATCCTGAGATCTTAAGTCTACCAGTACTCGATTACCCTTTTTACCTTCTCCTTCTTCATCAGACATTTCCATATCTACACTTTCAACGTTATCTCCAACAGGAATATTTGGCCTCCTGTCATTTAGAATTATTTATTTATTGTTAAAATGACATTATAAAAATAAAAAATTAATTTTTTATTATTGTTATTATAGTGTACCTATAATCTTGATCTGTGTTTGTCCATAAATTATCATTCGAAAGTGATCCAGTCATTGCATCGTTGCTATTATTAGCTGGACTACCTGTAAGACTAATAAGGTTCCGATGGTCAACATCAGCGCCTTTCATTAAACGGTGAGGCAATTGTTTATCTGCTGTGATAGGTACAGCCAACACCCTATAAAAAAAAATTTAATGTCAAATAGTTATAGACTATATATTTTAAAGATGATTATAAAAAGCTACCTATGATCAACGTCACCAACGCTACTCAGAATTGGCTCTTGAGACTGTGAATCATTATATTCGACTGGTTGATTATAACTTGTTTTTTCATACATTGGAGGTGATTCGGGAGTTTCGGAAAGTATTTCATTTTTAATTCTTATACTGTCAGACCAATTTGGATCGTTACTCATATCCCACTGTTCATTGCTACTTTCGTTCCATTGATTTTTTATTTTGTCACTTGGTGGCCAAACTGGAGTTGTATCATTTACAACTGGAAATACTACTGAAAAGGTTTTTAATCATTATGAATTAATCACTAGTGGTATAAAATTTGTTACAAATATTTTTAAGTCATCGTATAAAAATATTAATTCTCTATATACCTGGTTCTTTAGGTGTTTCATTGGCAAAAGTCCATGTTGGAAATTTAGGAGGTAGTTTGTAGCAATTATTATCTTCTAAAAATTCAATAGGGGGCATAGGCGGAGGTTGCAGCGGATTCACTGTAGTACTGTCAAATGAATTCATAGAAATTACGGGATTATTTTGACTGTTTTCACTAGAATAAGGTGACGGTGTATGCGATTCTCCATTCAAATTTCTGCTATGCAAGGGTGTACTATGACTTATTTGAGAATGATTCCCTATTGGTGTAGTGGGAATGCCTAACATTCTTCCCATTATTGGGGTATTTGAAATTGGTCCCATACTCAAAGGTCTATAATCATTACACTGCATATTATCTGTCATTGCATCTGCTGCATCCATTCCAAGACCAGGGATACCACAAGAATTTGTTGAATCTGAAGATGGTAATACAGTCTTCAGAAAACTTGAGACGGGTTCTTCATTATTTGTATCCAATGATGAATGTATATCAATAACTTCACTTGATTTGTTCTAAAAAGATGATTATTCAATTAAAAAAAGTCATAACAATTTTTTAATTTTGAATAACAAATTTCTATATTAAAATGTTATTTACCTCTAGAATATCATATTGTTGACTGGTACCAGATACTGAGTTTTCACTGAATATATTTCTCTGAAAAATTTTTTTAAACATTGTATTTCTAGTTGTGAATACATATCATTATAAAAATATCATTAATTATATATAAAATGTTTACTGGGTCAAAGTCTAAATTTTCACCAATAAAAGATGAAAAGTTATTGCTAAAATCAGATGTTGTGTTATTGATAGGTGCAGTTACAGGATTGTAATCTGAGCCATATGTTCCATACATTGAAGGTGGAGCAACATTAATTAAAGTAGACTGATTTATTTGACTTTCTTCCCCTGGTAGTTCAATATCACTATCTGGACTTGGTGACGGAGCATTTATATCTGGTGATGGGAGAGGAGATGCTAATTTTGGCAAAAGTTCATCTAACTTTTTCTTTAAATTTTTTACTCTACTACCAAAATTTCTGTAAGCCTGCAATAGGAAATTTTATACTTAAACACATCCATTATAATTCATCAAAATATAATAAGTAGTTTCATAATCAGACATACATTAACAACAATTTTGACCTCTCCTTTCTGTGTTTCATAAAATTGATCAGCTTGTTCAAGCAGATCAAGAACCTGTTTTCTTTCTCGTATTTCTGCCTCCAAAGATCGAACATAATTTTCAATATTTCTTGCAGCAAGATCAACATCTTTTTCAGCATCCTCTACTCGCCGACGATCTTTCAAGGAAGAGCGTAACTCTTCAACACTGTCAATATCTACACTACAATCTTTCAAATCTCTCAATCTTGCATCTGTAGCTTGTTCAAGTGTAGCACAAGATCTCATAGTAGAAATAAGAAGAGCTGCTTGAAATTCTTCAGACTGTTGTATTGGTTGAGGTTCCACTTTTTTTTTGGGGGCAGCAGAAATAAGCCCTGATAAATCAGCAAGAAATTCTTCATCATAAACTTGTCTTTGATCCCAAATTTTAAAAATCCTTAAAACTCTGTGTTTCACTTTTTCATCTCTAACCATTGTTGTGGCTCGTTGCAATGTTGTCCCCCATGATTCCACAAATTCAAAATTTTTTCTTTTAGAATATTGAATAACATCATTTGCTAAATAAAAGAGTGTTAATCTGTGTTCTACTTTGACTATAAAATGTAATATATTTTATTAATGTGAAAGCATTCAAATAAATTTAATAAGCCAGAAATAATTAAACCTTTTTTGAGAACTTGTAGCCAAGTAGCAACTATCTTTTTGTGATGCTGTCTTCTTTCAAGACACCATGATGAAAGGCTTTGTATTGATTCCTGAGAATCTTTCAAAGTTTGAAGTCTTCTTTCAAACTGTTCCACATCAAAGTCATTGGAAACCATGATTGATATTTATTGTTATTTATGCCTGGTCTTTCAAGACTAGAACAGTTTACTGTAAAGAAAATGTTTTGATATGGTAGATAGTATTTGTAATGGTTTTTTCATTACAAATAATTTTGTAATAATAAAGTATACCTATTACATAAAACAACCTTTTTGTCTTTTCTTTACAAATACACTAAAATAAATTAAAAATTTCATCATTTATTTTATCACACTAATTAACTTAAATAATAAAAACCAATTGTTAATGCTTTCAAAATGTAAAAATATTTTACATTTTGAAAAGCATTAGATATTAGTAATAGTAATCTTGAACGCGACCCTTCGAAAAAAACGACGAAGTTTTTCAACATTTTATCTTAAAATAGTATTGCCAAATAATTTAAAACATGTTGTTTGCTCATCAATATAATTTTTTCATGATAATAAAAGTCGTGTTATATGAATGTCGAAATTATGATTAATAATATAATGTTTCTGTAAAATTCCTACAATTTTACTATGGGTTCTCATTTCTGTTGCACATCAGTATTTGTTGATGTAGTTAATTATAAGTATAAAGTCATGTGAAAAATTAATCAACAATCAAAAGTGTTGAGATTGAATTACTTAAAAAAAGTACATGCAATCTGTGGAGTAGATCGAAGAAAAAGCTAGGTTAGAAAGGAAAGAAACTTACTCTATTTGGTTCACATCTCGCCGGAGTATAGCGAAAAATTTCTCTAAATAGGATGGATCCGTCAGGGTCACTGCCAATAGATAAAAGGGCAGTTTGAATAACGAGAAAACAAGACTCGCCTATGCGTGGTCTATGCTGGTTTTGCTATTACTTCTTTCTTAAAGGAAAGGGCTGAGAGGTAAAATTTAAACACTTAGAAGTGGTGACACGCGTGTGTTGGAGGGTTGTACTCGTCGTGTTTCAAGCAACACAAAGGTTTTTTAATGTCGAAACTCAATGCACTCCACTCACTGACTAGCCCTAATTTTACATCAACGACAATGATTGCCGTCGCAAAAACACGTCTCCGCCATTTTTCCAACCCGGGTCCCTCGCTCACGCTCTGCTCGCTGCTGCCTGCAGCCAGTCGTATGAGTCGAGCCGATGCGTGTGCCAAAAACATGGCCGGCCCTTTATGCATGTATATTGTGACACGCATACACGTGCATGATATAACCTATATCAGATATTATCATACATGTCGTATATAACGCACCGCTGCACGGAGGGAAGACGGAGGCCGGATAGAGACCAAACCAAGAGATTTAGAAAAGGCGCTTAGTTTTTTACGCATTTATAATAACTTTAAACGAAATCTTATTATGTATTTCGGTATTTCTAATGATAAAATATAAGTTCAACTTTTTTACTTCGACCCGCGAAATTCAAATGCAACATTATATTAATATCATTGAGGCCTCGTTTAGTATCGTCTTTTATTATCAATATTTATTGAAGAAAATATGCAGAGTGAATTTCAATAAAACCAGTACAAATTTTAATAATTTTTTAATAAAATAAGACAATACATAAATTGTAACAAATACAACTATATCATGTAGGATAATTAGGTAGCATGGGTGTGAGAAATCGCAATTAAATAAAAACACTCTTTAATAACAAGTAAAGACACGTCTTTATTCTTATATAATCAATACGAATCTAACTTAACTCTATCGCAAAGAATATCCTTTCCACGGTATATGTACGTGCTGTTTCATCAGTTTGTTCAGAAATCTGTCCAAACTAAACCGATATGATTTGAGAAAAATCTCACACTTTATACGAATAAATAATAATTTCAAACAAAATAATATTTCAACTTCAATATTCCTATTCATGAAATACAAAGTAACAATTCAACTTTTATTCATTTATTCGATCCGTGAAATTCTGATTAAACACTATATTATAATGACATTTAGGTCTTGTTAAGATCATCCTTTATTATAGATATTCATTGAAGGCAAATATGGAGGGCAAATTAAAATGAAAACTAATCCAAATTTCAATACATTGTAAATAAAATAAGATAAGGCATAAATTATAAATGCAAGAATAATTAGTGTGAGAGGCGTTATACAGTCTTCAGACTGACACCGAGGGCCGCTTGAGCTCACTCACAAATTCAGGGATAAAAGCCCTATTATCATTTACCTCCACGCTTTTCATTATATATACATACGATTCTGTACATAGTTTTTCATTATCATACAAATATAGTTTCATATTAACTGTTCTGATCCTACAATAAAATTATTAAAATAGCTTAACGAAAAAAAATCAAATTTCATTTACGACATTCATAAATGGATACCTATATAATATATATGGTTGTTTTATTATAATAAATATTTATATTTTATACATATTTAATAAGTTTATGATAACGTTTTAGAAATCTTGCATTAAAAAAGTTGCATTTAAATTAAAAAAAAGATTTTAGCTAAATTTAACCATTGCTTGTTTCTTATTGGTTTAACACCGTGATATTGAAAATACACGTTTTACTGTGTTATATATGATTATACAGCTTAGTTGATAAAAAATTATGTATATTCCTCGAGAGGAATTTTTTAATAATATTATGTATTTATCTTTTAAGCTTTTTTATTTTCTAAAACTTTAACGTATAAATGGAGTTGAAATAACGTATGCGTAAGAATTAACGTCGTAATACATTTTTTCATAGATTAAAATATCAAATGCTAATGAAAAACCGTTTATATCTTACAGTAAAAGTTATAATTACAGAATATACTCATTAAGCACCTAGATATTATCGTTTTATATTTGCTGCGTATCATCAAAAGTCACTCATTTTATGAAGGACCAGAAGAAGCAGCGATGGCCAAAACAAGAAAAGAGGGAGGGTAAAGCCGAAACGAAAGGACCGTATAGCATCTTCAACGTAGTACTCAGTCCAGTCCACATCAATGACCGATGCTGTAGTTTGGTGTGTCCTGTGTATCTCGAAACTATCGCATTACTATAGCCACGTTGCATTGTAAAAAAAGTTATATATGTTTTTGTTTTCAACAAGTTGCTATCATATTATTTTTAAGTAGAATAAAATAGCCGATAAAAGAGGACTATTTAAAGAATTTTCAGGAAGCGCAGTATTGTAGTGGTATGTTTACACGCCATGCCTTATAGATGTGTGTACGTGAATATATATAATTGAGTATGATGTCAGTTCAAGCATTGCATTGGTCAGACTCAGATAACAACATGCGAAAGTGATAAAACAAAAGAAGTTATAGGAAATTAAAGAACAAATTTTTAATACTCATACTATTTGTTTTGAATATAATAACGAGCATCAAAAGTTCTCGGTATTTTCTTAAAAGCCTCATTTTGTTGGTTCACAGTCTTACACAAGGTGTCCAAGGTGAAAGTATTTTCTTGTAACGGCAAGTTTTGAAAGTGTATATAAATCTTCTAATAATCGTTAAGATCAATCATAAAAAAGTCGTTGATAACAAAAATTTAAACAACTTATAGTGAAAATTTGCTTATGAAGAAAATAGTTATTAGTTTAATTTTTTGCAAAACTCGCCGGAAACCCCATGTGCTATTTAGAGGTTATGATTGCTAAAAACAAGATAGTCGATGTTTGAAACAAAATTTACAACGAATTTACGAAGTATCTGACTTATTAAAAGTTGTAATTATTTTCAATAAATATTGGTAGTTAATGAGCATTTACAGTGACTGGTGGTGAGTATCTTTTTAGGTAAGATTGGCAATAAGTTTAAAAGGTTGCAGTGTTATCACAACTTTTTACTTTAAAAATGATTAAAAACATTATGTATCGTTTCGATTAATTTTTTGATTGCTTGTATAGCCATTGAATCGATTAATTTAAACGAACTAAGGTTTCTTATTTTTAATAGTGTTCATATACTCATTAATTTCAGTAGTGATTTGAAATTATAATAATTCAAATGAAATTAGTATTACAATGATTACTTCCAACTATTTATTAGCAAATTTGCATTATTAATGCAATTAATTGAATATTATGTAACCTAAAAATTTAAATGAAACTACAAAAATGTAAAATCTAATTATATATTTCACTTGATTAAAAGGCATCAGTATGTATGATCAAATTTTTGATGATTTTAACATCATTAAACAACATTCAGAGAGAAATGGAAACAACCAATTTGAAGAATCAGCTGTTTTTGAATTACTGGAAAGTTTATATCCTTCACATGGATCAGCTCAAGCTGTACAAACTATTATATGTATGTTGGATGCTCAAAGGGTTCGAGATTCAAAAAGTCTAATGGGCAACTCAAAAGGAGAATTAGACAATAAGAAATTAAGTAATGATAATGAAAATGATAATGATATTATTGAAATTGAAGTTCCCAAGAAAATTCATCCTCTTATTGATTTGACTGAAAATTCTACTGAATCAGAAGAAACTGTTATTATTGAAAAATCTGAAAATAAAAGTAATGTTGAAAATATAGAAATTAATTCAGATTCTAATATAGAAATGTATGATTCTGATACAAGTTGTCATGGAATTCATAGTTTTAGTGATTCTGATGTTTCAAACCATTTCAATGAAGATTCAAATTTAACTACTGATAACCTTAGTAGATCTAACAGTGAAAAACAACTTTTAAACTACTTGGCTATTTTAGATCAGCCAAATCAAATGAATCAACAAGAAGAACAAAGCTATAATGATTCTCTAGATGTATCTGAAATGTTAGAAGAAAATAATAATGATCCTAATAATAACTTTAATGAGGAAAATATGGCAGTTAACCATACAGTCAATAATTATTCTAGTAGTATGGATATTTTAAATGATAATGAGCCACCTAATTCGGATAAAGCATTGGACAATTTATTTAATGAATTATTTGACTCAGGTGTATTTCCAGGATGTAGCAAAGGTATGCTTGATTTTTATTTTTCTTAACTACTTCACATTTCATTACATAATTTAAGATATTTTTTTAATACATTGATTACAAGAATATAAATAATTTCTTCATTTTTGTAATAAACATGATTTTAATTCAATTACATGTATAAGAAACTATAAGTATTATTTGTTTGAAAGATCTCATAAAATAAAGAGACAGCTAAAACATTTATAGTTGTTAGGAATTGGAAGGAAATTTTTCATGAGTCACAATTGCCTTGTCTACAGAGTTAGTCTTCAATTATAATGAGATGGTCTTGCTTTAACTTCCAAACTCAGATTATATTTTATTATACAATGTAAATAAATGATATTTAATATGAAAATATGTAGAAAAATTATATAGAACTGATAATTTAATTGGTTTTTGATTAAAAGTAATAGAACAAATGTTATTTGATGTTAATAGTTAAAGTGATACTATCTTAAACTTTATATGTAGAAAAGGCATATGGGTCATGTATTAGTCAAAGTGTTAAAATTGATTATTCATGTATTAAAATTTTAAATATACTACTTGAATTTGACTTATTACAGAATTAAAACCGAATGCTGAACTTAATGTTGCCAATAAAACTGTATCTAATTACAACTTTATTAATCCTGTTGCTGGATGTAGTAAAGATATAAATATTTCACAAAATATTGGACTCATCGGAGTAAATGATGATTCAATGAAGAAAGATATTACCTGTATACAAGAAATTATACCTTGGGCTACTTCAGAAGAAATACATTTTGTATTAATGAAATATAATAATTTACCTGACAGGAAACAATTGACTTTATTAAATTTGATGAAAAAAGAATCAAAAAGAATAAAATCACAAGCTGTTAAAAGAAAAGCAAATAATTCTCCAGAAATTGAAAGAAAAACTTTAAAACTAGATAATATGTTTGAAATAGATGGTCAATTAGATGTCCATCCTAAATTACAGTTTGACAATATCCTTTCTAATGAATCTTGTAATGATTCACTATCTTCTAAACGTTCGGAATATATAGAACCCTATTTCAAAATAAATCAAAACTTGAACACATCTAATAAGTTTGAATTTTCCAGAGCATCTTTAGAAAATAAAGAGATTAATTTCAATAGTAATTTGAATTCTTCATCGAACTTGCTAAATTCAAATACACAAATATTTTCTAAAACATCTTGCAATATACCAACAGTAAACCATACTAGCAAAAAGGAAAGGAATGAAACAGTAGTTAGTGGTTTATTACAAGAACAAAATAATCTAGAAACACTGCATAGGAAAAATCTAAATGACAAATTCACCTTGGCTCCTTCAACAAATTTCTTAAAACAGCCTGTGACACCATCTTTTTCCAGTATTAATGATTTTCAACATTTAGCAAGTGGTAATTCAATAGATCTTAAATCAACTAAGAACACTACAATACAAGAAGCAGCTAATCATTTTAAAGATTTGCCTATCTTAGATGGTTAGACATTACACTGCTATTAACATTTAAAAATCAGAAAATAAAATTAATAAAATTTCTCATGTGGTAATATGTTATTATTTTAGGTTTTTCACAGAACTTTAAGAGCAGAACTGTTATACAACCACCAAAGTTGCTACTGCAAAATGCCCAAACTGTTATAAATCCTATCATGGCGGCAAAATCCAATTTTATACGACCATCAATATTAAAACCAAAAGACAACACATTAGAACGACTATACCATGTTCATGCTGCCAGATCAAAACATTATATTCCACCACCATTAAGTGCTTGTCGGAAGCAATTGCCTTCTTCAAATTTCATCCACATTCAATTACCAAGAACTACTACAATTGAAGATCAAGCTGATAAAAATAGTTTAATCAGAATGGAAAATGAGCTGAAACTCAAAAAACAAAATAATAGTCAGAATATTAAAAGACCAATTGATGTTTTATTATATAAATCTGAAAAATCGGAAACTATAGCAGAACCTTCATTAAAAATTCAGACAAAGCCATTACATAATGACACAGGTATGTACTATTCAAATAATTCAATTTAAAACACTGATGTTATTACTTATTTTAATGAGAGTTTACAATGGACTCCTAATAAGATGTTTAAAAATTCATTAACTAAATAAACAAATATTTTTAATTATAATATTTTTTGTTAGTGGCTCAACCAGGAATCTCTGGAATGAATTCTATTGTATCCTCAACTTCAACTAGTATACCACATCAAAGTATTTATAATAAATTACGATCTATTTTTCCTGATGTAGAATCTTCATACATCAAAAATATTTGTATCAATCCACCAAATATTACAAATACAAATGATAAAACGTACATTTTGAATGCATTGATTGAACATTTGCTAAACGAAGGATCAAATCATTTACGCCCTGTAGAGTACATTATTGATCAACCAGACATTACATCAGTAAGCATAGATGAGAAGTATGAATATTTGTTGGGAATTTTTCCGGATGCCGACCCAACATATATACGCGATTTCGTAGTTAAAAATCCTTCAGAACAAGACTTTCAAGAATTTATCCAACAAAAACTGGAATCTCGTAATTATCCTACAAAAGAACAATATATGGCTAAAATAAAAATAACTGAGCAAATTAAACAGTATACGACAGAATTGAATATTGAGAAATTTTTAGAATTATTTCCTGATCCATTGGAGCACTTTGAAAATACGTCGAGAAAATGTCTTTATCAACCAATAGCAATGGAATTTCTGAAATCTCTTTTTGTTAAAAATAAAGTAAGTATGCTCATATTTTCTTTAATTATTACTAATCCTAGCCATGAATGACAATTTCATTATAATTTCTATAGGTAACCACTATTACTCAGCGATATAAAAGTAATAATTACAATTTGAGTCTAACTGCTAAAAATTTAACAGAAATAGGTTCTGACATGAAGAGTAAAAGAGTGAGTGTAGAGATGCCAACAGAAGATATTCCACTTCTTCAAGAAATAGCTTTCATAAAAAATAAACAAAATATTCTTAATTATTTGAATATGCTGAAAAATAAAGAAGAACAGTTATTTAAGGAATTAAAAGTATGATTTTATTTAGGAAATGTGATCTTTACGTTTAAGATATTCGTTATTTTTTTCATTTATTGTGGTTTCATTCAATTTTAGGAACAAAATCTTTTGCTAACATGTCAATGTTGTTACAATGATGAGTGCATGCCAACAAAATCATCAGAATGTAATGAAGGACATATTTTCTGTCATGAATGTATTATTAGAGGAACTGAATCTGCCTTAGCAGATGCAGAATTCCACGTTCGGTGTTTCACGGACTGTACAAGTGAATTTTCGTTGGCCACTCTACAAAAAGTCCTACCTCCTACCAAATTTAGCGCACTTTTGCAAAAGCGACAAACAGCTGAAGTTATAGCTGCTGGAGTGGATGGACTTGTATCATGTCCATTCTGCCATTTTGCATCCATACCTCCTCCAGAAGACAAAGTATTCAAATGTCTTAATCCTGATTGTATGAAAGAAACTTGCAAGTAAGAACATAATGCTATCTTTAGTTTTTTATAACTACATGGCAAATCAATAAATTTTGCTTATGTTGATAGAATAAAGTCTCAATAAATTCAAATAATTTTTCTTGCTGAATAAGTTCCATCTCCTCAAAGCAACTATTTTCAAACTATATAATTAAAAAATATAATATCCAAAAGAATACCTGGATATACATACACATTTTAATTTAATATTAATAATAATTTATTTATTATTTTCAAACTTACAGGATGTGCAAAGAGTTAAACCACGTCCCTTTGAAATGTGATGAAGTTATCAAGACTGACAGAGCTCGCCACATGTTAGAAGAAAAAATGACTGAAGCATTAGTACGTACATGTTATAAATGCAGAAAACAGTTTTATAAAGAAGATGGTTGCAATAAAATGCAATGTCCTTGCGGTGCCTTAATGTGTTATTTGTGTAGTAAACCAATTAAGGGATATAATCATTTTAATGCTCAAGGTGGAGCTAATACTCATCTGTGAGTATACTATCTTTTACAAATACTTCACTACTTCAACTGTTTTTGAGTAATTTTGAGTAAAAGTAAATCTTATATATTGTGCAATTTTTATGAATTTTATGACACAAAAGTGTTTGTCAATTTTACTTAAAAAAAAAGTAAGGAAAGATATTCATTGTCAAAAAGTATAAAATTTAGTTTTGATGTTGTGAAGTTATGAAATATTTTATTCTTACATTCAAAAATCGAAATTGAATATCGATTAAGACAAGAATTGAATTTAAATATACTAGAAATGTTATCACTTTTAGGTGTCCATTATGGAGTGATGATCGCTTTCTAAATGCTAAAGCTGTAATACAAGTAGCTGAGGATGTTAAGAAAACGCTGTTGAAAAATAATCCCAACTTAAAAATTGACACCGATTCATTATTACCTAAAATACCTCCTAAAACTAGAGGACCACATGATGACATACCTAACGCTAATCAACTACCGGTTAGTGCATTTTTTTAAAATTCAATTACTTTGTAATCTAAAACATATTTTATCTAAATTAATTATTACATATACCTTTTCAAGATTTTTAGATTTATTTATTTATTAATTCACCATAACTTATTTAACGATATTTTTGTTTTTAACAAGAATTTTTTTAACGAGATAAATACTCAGACAGCTCAATAGGCACGTAACATCTACAATCATAGTTGTATTTATTATAAATGTACATAAACAGCAAATCTTTCTGATTCAAAATATTAAATTATAATTAAATTATAATGTTACACTAGAAAAATTTATTCGAAACTTTTTCCAGTACATTTCAAAATTTTCTTAATAAAAATCGACGTGAGTAATTCTAATCATTAATGTTTGTTTCATGCACAGTGAAATAGTAAAATAAATCATTAAAAATACAGATTATACAAGTGTAGCTAAGATAATAGATTCTTAAGATTACAGTAGTTTTAATTTTTATATTATTTTTTTAGGAACGCATTTTGAAAATAGCACATGGAGGGCGAAGATAAAATGTAATGATGACGAAGAAAATTGGCCAGCCAAAGAAAAGTAGATAAATAAAACTGTTATTTCTCAAAATCATTCAATATTATAAATTGATTGCGTTACAAATTTATAGTATATTGTTCAAGTATTAGTAGTATAAGCAATTCAATAAAGCTATTTAATTTTCTATGAATACAATTAAGTATGACAATCCATTTTTCAATGCAATGTTTTTCATTTCATAGTATTCTTGATTGTATGTGGAAGTCTTTGTTTTCGTAATAATGTCATGAAAATATTAAAAATTGTGTAGTTTTAGAATAATTCGTTATTTATTTTACGCTGTGAGACCATTCTTTCAAATACAGATAATACATTATATGATACGTTTATGTCATTTTAAACATAGCAAGAACTCATTTCTTCAGTAGCCATACAATATGTACCTAATAACGCATGTAATGTATGAGAAAGATTTGCTCTACCTATACATCGTGTCTGGTACACGTTCATTGTGAAATAAGACATAACTTTTTAAAAGAAAAATAGATATATCTAGATCATAACATTTTTTTACTATGTTTATAATAAAGAAAAATGAAAATTCACGTATGAGTAATTATTTCTACCTAATTCCGTTTAATGAAGTTATTTTAAAAATTTTTTCATTGTTTGCATAAAAATCATTTATAGTAAAAGAAATTTTTCAGTGGTATACAATATTTTATTATATAATAAGTAAAAATTATGGAAAAATTATTTATTTATTCCAAAAAGAGCTTTTTAGGATATTCTTTTCCCTATTTTCATACATACAATTATATATTATATTAATTTTTTCTCATAAGTAAGGTATATTAGTTATAGTTTAATATTCATTGGTATTAACTTCCGACTTTCAGAATCGAGAGTCCAAAATGCACCATAACGTTAATTCATATTTATTGAAATTATTAAAATATTAAAAATTTCATTATTACAATTAGAACAAACAAATTGATTCTAGGAATAGTCAGATTTTTGTTTCGAATAAAAATCTTTTCATTTTAGTATCGTTACGATGATTAATTAAATGCTTTGGTAACCAAATATAGATGTAATACATGTAATGAAATATTCATTCTTACAAAATGAAAATATGACAGTATTAAGGAAACTTTTTCATAATAATACAAAGTTCTTACTATTGGTTCTAATAAAGTTATGAAATTATTACAGTCTAAGCGACTGTGTATAATGAATGTAGAAAATTGTTTGTGGTCATCATTAAGTGATTTTTCTAAATTACATATAGTAGGGTTGGAAAAATTTAAACATAAATGTTGCTACCTAGATCAAAACTGATCGTTTGCTTCTATGCTTAGAAATATTAAAAATCTAACAATGCTTTCAAGGATGTCGGTTTTATTTGTTCTATCGTAAAATAAAAAATAAATAACTATCTCGAAATCATCTTTGGATCATGAATTTTTTCATAAAGAAACTATACTTTAAGAATAATGATTTGTAATCTAAGTGGGAGATTTATCTTTGATAGGTAAACCAATTTTGACGGAAGTCCGTCCGGCTAATTAAAAAATTTTATATAGAATTTTATTTTAGAAATGAGAGATTTTCTCATAGATTTTCTGATTGTTTGAAAATTTCTTTTTTTATAATATTCACGAATTCGCGATTTTACGCAGACAAGAGGAACTTGACTATTACTTGTAGTTCAACCGAGAGGCGTAAAGATTACTTGGCTGCTCTTTATTCCCTTTTGTAATTGCGAAATCGCGTGTCACAAATAAATAATTATAGAATTCTCCATTAGTACGGTAAGATACTATCTTTATATTGTTGTTTCCATAAAATATTCCGTTTTTGGAAGTCACGTAGATATTTTATCTTGTCTATCATAACATACGTAAACAATCTGTTGGTTGTACACGCAGTTGTTCTACATTTTCAACATTGATTTAAATCGAGTACAGATCGATGTAAAAATTGTGATGTTGCTTTCTATACAAAACTAAACCTCGAATGAAATGAGGATGCTTTGAATAATTGACTATTATATGATTATTAATTAATGTAATTGTACTTCAGAGTACTTCAGAGATATGCAATAAAACAAGATGTATTTTTAATTATACAATTGTTATTATTATGTATCATATACAGCATGTAATAATTACTTTATAATAAATGTAGGTAGACTTTTACTCGGCTGTTTATTCGGTGAATTCGGCAAGAATGATTTTATGAAATATATCAATTTTATTTTATATCAATTTTATTTTACATTGTGACTTTACAAAAAGCTTTTCTATTATTGTAAACAAGTTAATCGAGTCTCGGATGATATAGTTATTTTCCTCGGTTCATATTTGCTTTTGAAACCTACCTTTCATCTCCTTTTTCACTGCTATTTTTATTTCAGAAATTCAGTTTTATGAAAAATTACGTAGATAATTTAGACTCTTACTTAAGTTAATAAACAGTGACATATTAAGCTTTCTTTGTATTTCTTTAATTACAGTATTTGGTTTAAATATCGAATCACAGATTCTAATTTCTCATTTCAACTTTCCACTTAACTTTATATTTCTGAATATTTCTGTTACTGTAATGAATTTTTACTTTAACTTAATTAACTTAACTGTTATATGATATTCAAGTGCAATAATATTAAGAATTCTTTGAAAATTGAAATTTGCTCTTAAAAACGTTAGTAGATAAATTATTTTACCTGAATGCTTGGGTAGAATCTTGGTACTCGTATAAAAATTTAATTATAAAATTATGAAGATAAGAAAATCACTAAATAAAGGATATATCTCTCTGCGAAACATACACAATTAGATATACTCATCATTACGCGATGAACAAACTTGAATATTAGCTAAAATGTTATAGAAAAAACACGTTAAACATCTAGCTTATATAAAAGTAAAAGAATAATGTATAGTATTGGTTATCAATTTATGGAAGATAATTGGTTTACTATATTTAACAAGATACTAAAACATCAGAATTGTTTGTCACAGCTAAACCACCAAGGTCCGGTTTGCTTCATTGTTATTCACCCTTATTGTTTTGTAATTTGTTGTTTTTTTATACAAGTTCTAAAAGAATCTTTTAATGTTTAATTGATTTCTTTTTCTTACAATTATATTAATTAATGTTCATTCACATTTTAGAATAGCAGTGCTAACAATGTTTGATTACTTTATCCGAAGACAATTTCGATTTCTTCACCATCGTCATCAGAATTAGTAGAAGTCGTTGCTGAAACAAAAGAATAATAGAGATTATTTCAGTGAGAATCTCGAAATATAATAGATAATATTGAAAAGTACCTTCTCAGTACTGAGTTCTGAGAAAAATATTTTCAACGTTTAATTTATAATGTAAGCAATTCTTGATAAATTCAACAAAAACAAAAAAATATTCTTATGAGAGAGTTGGTAAACTTGTAATATTTGAATATTACTGACATGTAAGATAATACGTATACAATAAATATTGAGAAGTCTTGATGGACAAGACTTATTCAAAGCTGACGCAAAGGTTCATAGTTGCGTAACTTGCGATTTTTTAGAATGTTCAAACTGCTTACTTACTTGCTCTTAGTCTTACAATTTTAATATTGCGGAGTATATTATAGCTTCCAAATACTTGGGTCTATAGCCCACGTAATATCTGAATTTGAATTTAGATTAACACTAAAGATTTTTTCTTTTTTATAAAAAACATGATTTTTTTATTGATTTAAAAATTTTTATTGACGAGAAAGAGTGTCACGAGCATGCTAACGATGAGCCTAAGTTTTTAAGTTTTCATATATACTATCTATAGATTAATAAATTTTTATGAGCAAGAGCGTGAATGAAATGTAAAAATTCAACATAACTTACTCGAAACAAAGCATTTGCTAATGAAATTGCTTACATGTATATCTGTTATATAATTTGCAACACTCCATGTGTGAGGTCTCGACTTTACGCGCGTTCGAGAAATCGAGCATGCATAAAATCTCGTCTCACACGTGTCGTATCGACAAATAAAGTTAAATACATATGCGAGAAAGTGATTTCAGCCTGGTATGGCCTTTTCACCCTCGATTCGCTCGGGCGCAAACATTCGCACACGAAGCTAAATATTATGTATCGAAATGTACTACATAGTGTTAAAGATTTTAATCTAAAAACCAATAATATAACAGTAATTGTACTATTAGTTAAGCTATAGTAATAGTGATTACTAAAATTGTTTAAATAATATCATATAGTTTCGGTAGTTTGTTGAATGTTCAATAACAGCCAAACGATAATTTACGATTTATATTCGATTTTCTAATGTTTTCTCCATCTTAACTTACTTTGTTCTCTCCGTATGATTTTTCAATTATGGAAAACGAAATGACTGATTTTACAACGCAATTACAACGTCTATATAAAAATATTGCTATATCATTTACTAATAATACATATAATATTAAAAAATAGAAGTTAATGAAAAGCATTAATAAATATGTCATTGCATCAACAAGCTTTACTTACTTGTTTGTGGTTTCTGAGTAGTCGGAATGAGGAATGGATTAATATAGAATGGTAACTCTGTCGTGGGTTCATCCTCGACCGTGAATCCCTTCTTTCCATTGTTATTATTTTCAGTCCCGTCATTACTAGACCAGATTGGTTTAACAGGTTGTGGAGTAGTTTTATAAACTGATTTCTTCGTAGTCGCAATATTTCCACTTGGCCATACTGGGCCTTGTTCTTTCTTAATTGTTGTATAAATTTCTGTTGTTGGATTAACTTGAGATTGTTGCGGTTGGTAATAGTTGCCACCTTGCCAAATTGGACTCTTTTCTGTTGTAGTATAAGTCGGGTTTAATTCTGAAATTGATGGCTTACCAAACGTTATCTGAGGTTGAATATAGTGGGCTTGGTTGTTTGGTGAATCTACTTTATGCAAATGGACAGGACTATTACTTTTTGAACCAATGCTATCTGTGGCAATAATCATCTGAAACAAATTTTTATATCCTTAGGTTTGAAATTGGTCTTATAAAAAATTTTCAAGTTTCAACATTTACTAAAAAAATGTACTATTTGAATATTTTTTTATAGTGTGGTTTTTAATTTACAAGTTTCAGAATAAAATAATATAAGCTTGCTTTAATTACGCATTTTTTTCATTTAGTATTTTTTTGAAAGTATATATTTAAATTGCTCAAGTCGCCCATTTGAAAATATTTTCATACTTAATTCACTTACATTTGACTTAAATTATAAATAATGCGGTCTAAATAATATTAGTAACATCATTCAACATCTACAGTAAAGTAAGTTGTACTTAACGAACATACATTTGGAGATTTGCTGTGAATGCTATTACTAATGAAATTTCTTTAATATACTAATAATTTGTAGAATTTTGAAATAATTTGAATGATTTTTACATTTGTACTATTAAAATTTGTTATCAGAGTTAAAAATAAAAGAATTCAATTTCAAATTTACGTTTACTTCAATAATATTTATACCTCTGATACGTAAAAATTATTCGTACAGATTAACAAACGCTTTATTGACAATATTATTAGAGTAAATCTGGTATCAGTGTTTGGTTGTTTTTAAATAGTAGTTAATTTAAGTTGTTAAAACTGGCTTTCAGGTTGAGAGACGAATCAAAATATTTTACATCTGTAATAAAAAGATTCATCTGTTGGACGATGGCTCACTATAACTATATCATTAATTTTTGGATTAGTTACAAACAAGAAATAATAAATTAGTTTTTGAATTCTTACAAACTTATTCGGCTTCTGTCACGGTAGCCTGTGCATGTTGTCGTTGGTTTGTTTTCTATTTATTTAGGTAATACTGGTGAGAATTTCTATTATATGGTGGATAGGTCTTTTGAAAAGTATAATATTGTTGTAGTGTATTTTTGGATGATAACATTGATGACTCAAATGATTCGAGGGTACACTTCTTATATTTCGTAAGTATTGCATTGTGCTAACTTGATTTAAAAATTTATTAAAAAAAAATTTAATTTTTGAAAATTTGTAACAAATTCTTGACGTCTCGAATTGTTCATTTCATAACTTTCGAAATTATAATTTTTTATAAATAATCAAAATTACTTATTTTTTCGCTTTAATTCATCAGTCACTATGAAAATGCGAGCGAGTTGAACTAATGAAATTTTTTTGTCGTTGCGCGGAGTCATCTTTGACTACCGCTGAACAAGTGAACGTCCTTAAGTGTACATACGAAACCATATTTGTCTTACCGATGCCCCCATGAAACTGACTTTAAGGGCTATATAACAATGTTTAACAAAAAGGCAATTTCCCAAATTTCGAATTCGCTGTAAAAGAATTTCTTCAGAATTTGTTTTGCGCTATATTCTTGGCCACAACCCGTCTATTTGTGCCATAAACTAGCCAATTGTAATCGAAAACTGGTGACATTTCTTATGAAGTTTCTATATTGTTTGTATATATTACAATAAATATTAACTACTTACCGAAGATTTTAACTATTCACTTTAAAAATGTTAAGTGATATAAATGTTGACTCTATTTAATTTCTTGTTAGTTTTATAATTTATTAAAACGGCTTATTATTTTTTAAGAAAAACTTAAAACTATCAAATAAATTCAGGTATTGCTACTTTTAGATAGAACAAAAAGTATTATTAATACTGAAAAAATGTGTACCACCGTAACAATTATCTGCTCGGAAGAAATTTTCAATAATTAGTAATTTTATCAAATAAATCAAATGAAATTCAATTCGCTGTAAAATAATAAATTAGGCAACAAAGTTCTTTTTTAGTTTTATTACATTTTATCAAGGTATATATAAATATATTACATATTACGTTATATATAAATAGTATGACAAACCACTTATTAATAACACCTTAAACTTTTGAAATCATTAGTCCGATATAATATTGCTCAATCACATTCATGAAATTCTAATCAAAAGATCTAATGTTGATAACACCTTCACCATTGGTATTAGGTGTACCTAAAAAAAGATTGCTTCATCATTATTATGTTAATTAAATAAAAGACGACTTTGAAAATACAAAAATTTAAACACTTTTTAATTCTATTTATGTGTTTAACTTATAGTGATATGTGTGTGTTATCTCATACCTGTAGTTTGTGTCGGTGGATTAAGAGTTGGATTACTTGGCGGAGGTTGAGAGAAAGTCGGTTGCGTGTTTATCTGAGGAAAGTTTGGTTGAGGGTTATTAGGCTGCTGTGGTTGGCCAATATTTCCAGTACCTATTGATGGCAGATCCTCTGAGCTGATGATTAACTGAAATATAAATTAGGATAAACAATATTCGCAATAAACACTAAGTATAGTTGTGTAAAAAAATAATTTTAATAATTACTGACGTTTTATAAAATTATGGCACAAAGTCAACTGGAATTTCATTTCACTATAAATGACATTATTATATAAACACGAAAAATTAATAAAATTGTACAGAATGATTCCAACGACTATATTACACGAAATTGATAATAACACGATTTTATTGGCGCGATTCCTTGGTTCGTGGATATTTATGACGAAACATTATACAATGATATGTAAATGACACTTTAAAATCGATTCTTTGAAATTGAAAGAATCAATGTGTAGTTTATAAGGTCAAAGTTTCGATGAGGTAATCATTGTATAACTCATGAATTTTGAGTGATGTCTATAATGTACATAAGTCCGAATGGAACATTATAAGTATCTATATTTAGAGAGACTAAAAGAAATTCGTCAAAGAAAAAAAATATTAATTCACTAACCATGTCGCCCGTTTTAGGATTTTTGCACACCCACTCGGCTTCCTGTACCGAGACACCAGGAGGCAATTGTTGTTCATATGTATTTTGTTGCGGATATCCATTGAAGCTACCATAGCTTGGTCTCTGCTGTGGATAATAAGGGTGAGAGTGGTGGTTATATCCGTGACCATATCCATATCGAAATTGAGCGGTGGCTTCAGTTGTAATTCCGAGTAAAATGATAGCAGTGCTTGCCGCGAATAGTTTCGTCACCATTTTCAACAGTGCAAAATCTTGGATTTTTCTACTGCGATATGATCTCGGCGAGCTAAGATTAAAACTTTATATACACTAGTTGCTTAATAATGATCAATAATGAGTGCCACAGCGCGCTGATCGTATTATTTCTTTCAGAATCCGGATTCTTGTATATCAAACAATCCGTGGTTTTATCGTCAGCAAAAAAGACACCAGTGACGTTCGCTGATTAAAAGTACCATCTATTATACTTCATAGAATGTCAAGTACAAAGTTTTCCACAAACACTCTTCTTATAAATTACTTTTCCGGTTAAAAAAATCTCAAATAACGTACAACCAAGTTCTTCACTAGCAAGAGACTCAACACGTCGCTATTACTGCGATGTTTTATTGGCACTGGTAGACTTTGTGCCGATCGTGCTTTGGTCATTCCTCCAACTCGCCGAATAACTAATGCGATGCTAATATAATATGCGAACACGTCGCATTGTTAACTGTGTGAAAGATCGTATTTTCACGGCGACCTTAGTTATTTATGGTATTTTATTCATACGCATTCTTCGTATGTCCGCGCAAAACTTTATTTATACATTTTCCCGTGGCATTAAAATCATTCTGAAAATCGATCAATTAAAAATAATATCGTATGTAATGACGCTGATTCACGCGGAAACTGAAAACAATATAGTGATTGCGCAATGATAATTGTGACAGGGAAATATAGTTGCTAAATATTTACAGTTAAACGTTGGATCCTGACTTTAGACGCGAATAACAATTATACTCATAAAAAGATAACGAAACCCATTTGTGTTTCGATGTAAAATGAAAAAAGCAATTTGCTCTGATTCAATACATTAGAATTTCAAAATACTGTCAGTTGGAAACCACTGAATATTTTTGAATGATTAAAAAAGGAATTTCAAATGCGACTACGTTTACTGAATATTGCTTAACACGTATTTATTTAATCACTTTGAAAAACCAATATTATGCAATCAGCTGCAAAATTACAAAGACTGGGATATGAACTCCTCAATAACCGTAGCCTGTATCAAAGTAAAGTAAAAATTTATAACATACTTACATTTTATATTTTGGTCGATTTGCAAAAGAAATTTTCAATTTCATCCGATTTTTCATACCTACGGGACAATATGAGATGACGGTTAAAATACATATTCTTGCGTAATTTGATTAACAAATCAAAGATACAAAGATGCAAAGATAGGATTGAAAACAAATCTCATTTTGTTTTCATATATGCTTAATGTTTGTTAATTTCTTTTACCTTAATGATAATATTTTCATCATTAAGGTAATTTACTCGACGATACTTTCATCGAGTAGCGCCTGCATAACAAAACCATGCTCACATGGCTGTATGACATAGAAGTTTCTATACACCTTGGTGATGGGTGTTACTGCGAATTGTAAAAGTACGCCTGTCTTTTTGTTGTCAATCGTTGTAATACTTTTCTATACTTGCAATACAATTGTGTATTAAAAATGATATGACTTGTAAATCAAGATACGAAATCTGATGAGTACACTTTTTGAAAAATATATAAAATTGAGATATCGTAATACCAAGCCATAATGACCAGACTTTATTAACGATTTCTCGAAATAATTACAACTATTTACATTAAATGTGCAATATCTTAATGTGTTTTATATATATTTTACTTTGCGTAACGAAATGTTTCACTGGATAGATAACATATTTTATTATATCTTTTAGTGTTTATCACGATTAACTTGTGTTGTAGAGATAAGTACCATTTGTGCTTCAACATTTAACTAAAAAAAACTTTCAGTTAGAAAATATTATGTAGATTTTCAGGACCGATTCTGCTTCAATTGTGTAATATTTAATTCAAAATAACTCTACTATTCAGAATTAATTTACTTAATCTATATAGTTTTCTTATTTTACAGATAAATATTGACGCTTATGCTTCAGAACAATAAATTTATAAGAGTAAGCTTGATTGATCCGAAAAAATGTAATTAATGCAATTATTACAATTTTGTTGTTACAATTAAAATATTTTCTTTATGATTTTACGCATAAAATTATTTTTTAACGAATTTTTATATAGTAAAAAATTGATATTTTTATAAAATTGAGTTTTATTGTAAAATAAAAGTGAATTCTTTACGAGTTAACTTCTATAAAAAATTTGCAAATCCGATTAAGAAGTATAAAAGTTGTTGTAATTTATAACAAGAATGCTTTTTTATGGCACTCCTCTATTCATTGATGTTGAAATTGAGAAAACAATTGTCATCATATCACTATTAACAACACTTGGTTTTTGATCTGCATAATCTATTACATAGTTAGTTGAATCCTCCATGTCCTCCATGTCCTCCATGTCCTCCGTATCCACCATGGCCACCGCCAAAACCTCCGTGGCTATGTCCATGTCCTCCTACAGGAACACCTCCTCCAAAGCCACCGTGTTGACCACTACCTTGTCCGTGGCCTCCCACAGGGATACCGCCTCCGAATCCACCATGTTCACTACCACCATGTCCGTGTCCTCCTACGGGAACACCTCCTCCAAATCCACCGTGTTGGTCACCACCTTGTCTGTGACCTCCCACGGGGATACCGCCTCCAAATCCGCCATGTTCACTACCACCATGTCCGTGTCCTCCTACGGGAACACCTCCTCCAAATCCACCTTGTCCACCACCGTGTGATCCATGGCCACCCACAGGATAACCTCCTCCAAAACCTCCTTCATTCCCTCCGTATTGAGCCATTGTTGTAGCAATTACGGCTGTAAGAGCCAACACTACCTGTAGTCGAACAGAACGAAAAACAAATTTGGTTATTTCTTGTACTGATGCCCTATCATGCAATATATATTATAATTGCACGATAATTATAATGTGTGAAGATATTTACACAAGAACTGTCAAACAAAGTTTGGCTTCAAGTTAGTCAGCAGTGACTATGATATTAATGCGCTTGTTATCGATAGAGACTTGTTATTTCTAGTGATACCTGTATTTTTTATACCATGCTATCGTAAATTTTTAAGCCGATATCAGCTAACATCGAAAATGAATCATGAATCGAAAAATAATTGTAATCGATACATTAACTCAATGATTATCGTGCGGTATCAATAACTGATAGCACTAGTGTCATACGATGTTCACATCACTTTTTAATTATATTATGTGAGTAAAATTAGTAAAAACTAAAATAACTTATAGAAAATAGTTAGAATCACTATTTAATACGTACATATCTTACGTTCGTTAATTAAATACAAATTTTTTTAGATAGATAAAACTGAATATAATATAGTTTCTAGTAAAGTAAAACAATATAATCAATATTGAATTTATCTATATAAATTTAGCTCTCTCTATATATGTATACCTTATGATTTTTAATTAAAGCATGAGATATTTTAGTTTAAATATTGTTATAAACTTAACTATGCCTGCAATTTAAAAATAATACCTTACACTTGAAAGACTCACCAATTTGCTTGCCATGTTTTTCACAAAAACTTTGAGATTCGTCTACTGAGACGCAAGAGTACAGTGTCTTTTATATATACGCAACAGTAAGCATCCGTGGCGTCAAGAGGTTATCAGCATCACTGTATCATCTTATTAGAAGATACTTGTAAAAATCCATTTATGAAATGAAATTCACTGCAACACAGTGGATCGCAACAATGAATCATGCGTTTATTCATCTCACTTCACGATTGGTGCTAGTTACAAAAGAAAAAGTCTCAACTCCGTTTTTCTACATTACAACTACAGTTTGTCAAAGAATAAATTCATTTGACATTATTCCAGAAGAAAAACGAATTTCTGCAGTGCTTTAAGTTTGTTGCCAAAATCGTTGGAATCTTTAAATGTAAATTGAAACCCGTTTTTAAATAAATTTGTTCTAGGATATATCATGTTGCATTTATTTAAATAGTTCCAAACATTGAGTTTTGCTATTAATATTATATAGAAGTATCGATGTACTAATGGTCAAAGCATTGTCTTATCTGAAAACATTTCGTCATGGACTAATATCAACAAATTTCAAAGTCTCGACTTGGTAATCACTTTGACCTTCACATCTTCACGACATATGATCATAGTGTGTGTGTTGTCTATACTGGTTACTCATGACATAGTTGTGAAAATAAAAAAATTATGCTATTTACGCACTATATAATAATAACGAAATAAATTTGTGAATGAAAATGAAAAAAAAAATATGCTAAATTAAAACTATCCGTAAAAAGTGACCATATACATCTAAATGATGCAAACTAAAAAAATATGTTCAAAATTGATTTTACATTCAACATATAAAATAACTAGGCGCAGATTCATTTTCATATTTTACCAGAACTGATTGGAAAAGGAAAAGAAAATCGTAAATAGTCTTCATTTAATAAATAAATTAATAAACCTGGATTATAAAAAATATTTATTTTTCCTTGTAGTACATAATATTGTACGTTTCTCTCTTACAAATTTTCTATAGTACAAACGTATACTACTTAAAAATATAGATGAAAACCTCGAGAGTCAATAATTGATTTATACTTATCAAAATAATTTATGATGGAATTATCGTTGTATCGTACGTGTTAGTTGAAGTTTCATAAGTAGGCGGAATTGTCTCATAGGTTTGATGAACGGGATATTCCGGAACGTACACTGTACCAACAATAACGGGTTCATGTTTGACGTACGTGTATACAGTGGTGGGCTTTTTGTCTTCCGCAATTGGTTGCAAAAACACTAGATGGTTAGGGCTTTCGCGCTTTTTCAATTTCGAAAATAATGCTTTTTCCTCATTAAATTTGGAATATAGGTTGCTTTTAACGCTGTTCACTAACGATGTTGCTTTGTCTGAAACAAACATTCAAAATATTCATTATTGCTAATTTTACTTCAAAGAACTTGTCACTTTATTGCTGAACAGCACCCAGGTAATAGATACCTTTCAAATTCAATTTGTATTGATGTAGCTTCTGAACATTACTGGAAATAGCGGAATAGAAATCGGCAAACTTAGAGTCAAAAACATTTCTGTCGGAGGTTTGCTTGGCATTTTTGAGAGCTGCCAATTTTGAGGATTTAAAGGCGATTGCGCTTTTGACAGCGTTGATTTTTGCTTCTTCCATGTCCTTAATGAAGTTCGATTCGTTTTGGGTTCTCTTTTTTTTGTTTTCACTTACAGGTTCTTTTTTTTCTTCGACGCTTTCAATTGTTGATTGGTTGTTCTCATTATCGTCTTTTATTATGGCTTCTTCTTCTGAGTCTTCATTTGAGTTGCTTAAAGTACTCAACGCACTATTGGCGAAAGTTCTCTGCTCCTTCAAGAAAAATCCATGACTTGTCGCCACAATGCACAAAGCCTAGAATTTTACAAGTTTTGTTAAGCTTATATTTTTATTATGTCATGTTTACATGTCAAACAAAATAAATTACAAGTGACAAAATATTTTTCAAATACTGACCAACAAACTGTATGCGGTAAAACACTTCATTTTGACAGCTCTTTACTGAACGATAGTTAACGATGAACGACTGAACAGATACAATCTAGAAAATCTTCTAGCCGACCTTATATATACTCGTCAATTAAGAGTCCTGTGGGAGAAACTACCTCACTGTTTCCAGCCTCGGGGCGGGGCATTTTGTGCAATAATTGTATTAGTTCAAATTGATATTTGAGTTTAAAATAAGTGATAAAATGCAGCATTCCTTTGCAACTTTCACCGAAATTTCAGAATAGTTATCCAAATTAATACTTTGAACTCTATTTAGTTATAATATTTTATTAAAAAATATTCTACGTAAATGATACTGTGCTATTTTCAAGCTATTATATTTCACACAATAAATATCCTCGCAGATACCATTAGAACAAATAATTCATAAGGATGAGTAAGACTGGAATTTCGTACAATTGGTTATGGTATGTGATTCAAATCTTAGTTATTATTATGGATTCTAGAGAATTGAAGTACTTTATTACATTTAAACAAATGTAATAAGTAAAATTAATCATGAATTAAGCATTCTACACATAAACTAATTTTATAAATGATGGTGCACAATATTAAAAGATTTCATCTTAATTTCTCAATTTATATGTATCTTACGTTGCCATTCGATCCCTCGAATAGAAAATTCCATGAATAATTCTTTCTCGGAAAACCATGACACTCACTTATATGTACATAAGAGTAATAGCTACTAAACGTATATATCAACTATACAATAAAAATAAGTTGAATTTAGCTAGTATTGAATTTATTAGTCTCGAAATATGAAATTGTAGCAAACAGAATCGAGTTCAATTTAATTTAATGAATTGGATACTGCAAAAATCAAGAAATTCATTCATTGCTTAGTTGAATTTAGATTCATTTTATACGCGTGGACTCAGATAATCATATAAATTAGTTATATTCCGTTATTCAAGTTTAAAAATATGTATAATTAATTGATGTATAAAATTACATTTATTGTACCTTTAAAGACTCATTCCTAGTTTTTGCCATTTGCATATTAAATTTGATTTCAAGCCAAATAAAAGAAGTTACTTTTCGCAGCATTTCGATCAATTATGACTATTGTTATTCATACTTCAAGTACTAAGTTGGCAGAGATACATCAGGTACTTATAATAAATTTTTGGGGGATCCGTTTTAAAAAATTATAGCAATCATATAATGACAGATCTTTTTTAATAAGAATATTTAAAGTAATATGTAAGAAATTTGTTTAAAAAAAGTGTATTTATACTAACGGTTGCAAATATTGAAAAGCGTAATGACTTTATAATTACTATTTAAAAGAATAGATCAACGGCTGCATTTTTAGAAACATAACTTAACACATTCGCGATATAAAACCATTAATATTTAAAAAAAAATAGTCGGACCATTACATTAATAGAACAAATTATCATATTTACTAATGATAACATGTAGAACATAAATACTATTGAGATGTGGATATTACATTTCTTTGATAGTTATTTTGCTTCAACCAGGGTTTCTCCACGTTTTCGTCATTGATAAGAGATTTCATTATCATTTTCGTGGAATGTGTGTCATTATACGCTTCTTCGTATATCAGGAGTCCAGCGGTCATTATTGAAACTCCAGCAAATACAATTAACAGCAACAGTTCTAAAGCAACCTATAATAAATATTCACACGCATTCAAAATGTGGTTGAACAAATGTTCAAGACTTCAAGCTATAAAACGAAAAAAGTCATTGTCAGTACCTCAAGAATTATTTTTGAAAGTTTTAAAAAATAATTGTGCTCTGATAACCATTGCCACATGAGAATTGGAGACAATAGAGCTGTTAATATAGCTTCTGACACATTCATAATGATGACAGAGGACAGAAAAATGTTCTCGCGTTCTCTGTAAGAAAAAATGAACGCTTGAACGAAATTGTTTAAAAACTACAATTCGATATTATCTACTTACATAGCTTTTAACTCATATTAATTCAAATTCATTTTGTTATCAAAACTTCTCAATTTATAGTTCAACAAAATATTAGATTAATCAATAACCAATCTAACCTGTTAGTTTGTTCATGGAGATCCACTTCTTGTGCCAAAAGTTGAACATGATTTGGTTTAACAGACTTAACAGTTCGTAAATTTTTCATTGTAACAAAAGCATCTTTGTAATTTAAAAATATTATTTTCTTTGCGAAAATGAACAATTTATTTTCAAACTAATTGAATGTATCTTTATATCAATTTTAATACTACATTACGATCGTTTATTTACTATTTCACGGTATACGTAAAATTGCCTTAACTGCTTTTGTTTTTTAAATTGTTTTCAATAGTCATTAAGATTTTTTCCTAATTTTTTTTGAAAAATTTAACAAATGGTACAAACGAATAATAAGAAATTATAGTTTATAGATTTCTCTTTTCATTACTTTATTGCATAAAAGTAAAAAATAATTAATGAAAATAATGAGTACATGCATTATAGGGAGTATTAGAATTACAAGGGATTTGATTAAAAGGAACTTTAATGAATTGCAAAATATGGTCTTTCGTAATATCAATTCTCGTTCTTAGCAAATGGAAATAAAATAAATACAAATAGCTCAAAACTATAAAAAATAATTTTATAATTGATAAATCATGGCATAAACATCTGAATACTGACTTTATAGATAATAATAACATATTACTTTTAGGATATAAAACTAATTTGTAAATTCTTCACATCAGTTCTTATGTAGTAAGAATATAATATTACTTTGCTAGCGTAATAATTTAAATGTTATTTCAACAAGAAAAGGAATTAATTAATTAACATATTTATAATTTAATGCTGAAATAAATTATAATTGAATATTGATGTGTCAATTGTTTGATGACGTAAATAATATGAAACTCAGAGCACATTATTTTGTACATTAAAAAAAGTATGGGTTAGTAGGATAATATTGATATGGATAGTAATAACGATCAAAGCGAGGCTTTGTTCGCGATAGAATTTGGCGGCGATTATTATTTGATTGTCTGTCATTTTGCAATTTAAGGCGTCGTGAAATTTGTTGCCGATATACAAAAAGCGGGCGAAAAACTTTGGCTTCTGCAGTTTCAAGATCATCCATTTCATTATTTGGTAAATGTTTTTCAATTTCTCTTTTTGATCTTGATGACTCTATAGTTGCTGATGACCTTGATTTGGAATGGGGTAGTTGTCGTGATGCTTCTTCAATTGAAACCGTTTGTCTCGTCGGCAGTCCAATATTCTATAATGCGTTGAAATTGTAATTAGAAATTCAATTGAACTCATATAACAGTCTACTTCGCAAAAGATAATCGTATAAAAAAGTACTTTTAAGTATATTAGGCAAATTTAATGTATTCGCAAAAATGGTTATATATTATAAATATTATCATATACAATGAATCGTATAATGGTTTTTATTATAAACATCTATCATATCTAAATATAAGTAAATCCCTAGTTACTATTCATAAAAACGCTTGAATCAGTTTTCTTGACTCTCCTCGGGATAATAAAAACTAATTTGTTTAATGGAAGGTAATCATGCACAATTTAAAAATGAGTTGTAATAACGCAACATGTTCTATAGATTATCTACCATTCCCCCGAATTCAAATTCTCTGATTTTATATTTTTACAAACGTATATTGAAAGTTGTAAATACCTGATTGTAGTTGCCTCGGATTGGATAAAAATTGAAATCATTAAAAGAGGAATAAAGCCCATCTCTGGTAGCTCCTTTGTTTGGTTTGTAATCTTGTTCGGGTTTGAAGCTAAAACGTATTGAGCGCACTCGTCCGTCAAAACCACTTTCTTGTTTGACTTTTACCCGTTCTAAAGGGCTGTCACGCACTTCATTAATTGGGGAGACATAATTTTTGGACAATAAGGCACTATCTGTTTCACTCAGAGCTCCAGATATTCTGCTAGCGAATGGTGTTAGTAAAAATAATACCTGCAATTAAAATTAAAAATTTTGTTCATGATGATTAAACGTTGAGCAAAAAATCGTTATGAGAATATTGATTGATAAAATATGAGCAATCCATAATCAATCACTCGAATGGAACTTGTAATATAAATATGATCATTTGAGGCTACAATCAAAATAGAAATGTACTGTACTTACTCTATAAAACTGGATCAAAGTAATTGGTCCCATCGTTTCTACATACGGTTAGGCCAAATTAAAAACGAAATAGCGAAAAATCACTGCGAGCTAAGTGACTGTGAATAGTGTTGCCTATAGAATAGATTTCCGGCAGAAAACACACAGCAGAGAGTATACAAGGTACATACAGCCACTAAAGGTACACATCCGGTGCTGAGTTATCAGCAAGCAACGAGTGTCTGAAGGTTCACCGACAAGCCTACAATACTTATATAGAGTTCTCAGCGCGGCAATCGTCGTCATCTGCTTTGCAGCAGCAGGCAGTTCTTTCTCTTGGGCCCTGCACGCGGCCGCGGCCGTACCAGCCGATACTTCTGCATTTATTATCGCATACGTGCGTGTGGAGTGAGTACGCGGTGTCGCGTGCCGCGGGAAGCTGATTGACGGCCGACAGCTAAAAGGAACAAAAATAAAACGAACCGCACGATTTCGCTATTGCGATTTCTGTTCTGCCTACGGTGGTAGAGGGAAAGAGCATCGTCTCGGGGACGCCTTCCAAACCGGAATGCATTCTTGGTTTCCTCTCCACAGGCTGCGTTCAATCCGTTTGCGTGCATGAGCTTTCGATAAATGCCAAGCTAATATGCCACTTCTCTCTCTCTCTCTCTCTCTCTCTAGAATGTCTTGCGAATGCCAACTCGCTTCAAACTTGACATTCATTCAGAGCTTACAAAATTCTACGTCACTTCTATTAGAACACATCAACAAATTCATTTATAGTAGCTCCGGTAAAAAATTTGCGGCAATAAACAACACCATATGTATATTTGTTCAGATTCGTTGCGTGGTGGCATATTTTCACAGTTTTACTCGAAGTCTAGTTGGCACAAAAATATAAACACCATGAACAAAACATACTTTTCAAAAAGAAGCGTATCAAATTAGTGAGGGCTTATGTGTTAACAAGGGACTCATCGACGTAGAGTAATACGTTACTATATTGGTACAGTGTGACACATTAGTGATGAGTAGTTTCTCACTTAAAAACACTCTGTTACAGCTTATGCTGTAACTTAGTGCTTTTGTTCGATGATGCAATACAGCGTCTTGAAAATATTTCGATACTTTGATTCACTCAGTTTGTAACCCTCAGTACTAAATGCCGAATCACTGTGAACAATTTCTTGTGAATATGTGATTCATTGCCCACAATATGCACTTTTACGTTCTAATTTAATTATCAGGCATTCTTCCGTACTGATTTTCATAAATTCTTTATTGAAATGAGTCATCCTATCTAACATAAACTTGAATATACTGATGTTATCTTTGTGTGAAAACTGAGTAGTGAATCTAGGATAATTTCATTTCAGACCCCAGTGCTTGTTGCTGCAATTTTCATTCTAGCACCGAGTAATAAGTACATGCGTTACCTGCAAAACAGATTTAGATCACGTTTATGACTGAGCAGTAAATGATTATCATATGCACACGTAAAATCATAAAGCAAAATCACTGCTCAGATAGAATTTTACTTGTAAGAATTATAGACTATGTCAATTAGTATTTGACAAACTCTGCTTTTAGCAAAAGATATTTCCACGAAGTTAGGAGAATCATTGGATATTTTGCTAAAAGTTTTCATATGCACTAAAATTAAATATTGTATAAAAGATAACGTGGATTGGCAGCAGTAGGTTAATATAAATTTGACGAGATATTTGCATACGAATCACCAAAGTTGTCTATTGCGATGTGTTGGCGTTTCTCAGAATCTTATGCAATGATTCATTGAATAAACCATATTACTCAATTCAGATAGAAGACAATAATCTAACAACGCACAATGTTTAATAATGATTTGTCAATCGTTTCAATAAAATGCATTTGAAACAACGAAATACAAGTTAAATTATTTTTACCAATTCATAATATAGCAGTTTGAAGGGTGTCTCAAGAGATTATAAATAATTTTTTGAAAATACATTTGGAATCAGATATGCTAATACTAAAAAAAACCACCGCAACCTAACATCCTTAAAATGTTTCCTCGACTAAAGTGATTCACATATATGAGACAAGAATATATGCTCGCGGTAAAGAGCCGCGTTTTCTTAAGTGGTTTTATTATTGTATTAAAAAATATCATTTATTTATGACATTTTTAAACAATAAAGTATTTTAATAATGTAACGGTACATATTCTTCAGAGTAATGTTTGATCGTTCCTGCATATACAAAAATGATAAAAGTCGTACTAGTCGATTTGCTGATCACAGATGGTAATTTTAAGAAATTGCATAGTTCGTTAGCCGTGTTTGAAAATAATTGCAAAGAATTGTCATTGGACAAATTATCTGCGAAACTATAATAAGCTTATTTACAAATGATTTAATGTTAATGGTGCGCCATTCGTGCTCCGGACTAAGATTTCATGAGCTTCATCGTTGCCCGCATTACATGCAAAACGCATAAAAAGTGCGTGTCCTTGCATCCTTTCATTCTGAGGAGCCTTTTGTGACAGGGCATCAACCCAAAGATCTCTATTGCAAATTTTTCCTTGTCTGGATGAATGCAGACAAGTGGAGAGGGAGACCAAATGCACTCCAGTTAGTCGCGTATATAAGGACCATCTCCGTATGAAATGCGACACAAACTCTCAACATGTTGCGACATTTGGTAAGTAACAAATTTTCCAAATTTAATTACGTATCATTTGAATGGTTAGTTAAAGGCATTAACTAACAATTATATTTTTACATTATTTGACAAGTACATTTCTGTTTTGAAAACTTTATTATATTCGGCGAAGTGGATGTTTTCTTATTTCCTATTGTTTGTTATATATCTATGCGAAGTATCACTGTAAACACACTTAATAATTTATTGTACGCTAAAAATTAAATTTAAACTATTTTCGACTAAGTGTAGAATTTATATTATCAGTTGTCTTAAGTGAACTAAGAAATCATCCAAAAAGGCTAACTCGTCCGTAACTCTTATCTGTAGTACAGACTATATGACACCTTTAGATTATAGCGTAACCAAGTAGTTGGGATAGTAATTTAACGTTCTACTTTTTTTATGTAAAATATAAAAATATTATGTAGGCATCTACTTAACTGGCTGTATTTGGTAAAGTCTTTATTATTCGTACAATTGATATGCGTGGCATTTGCACTTTTGTTGTCTTTGTACGTTGATAATTGATAATATCAAAATATACAATTTTGACAGACACTACTCGCTGTTATCTATCTTTGCGGAAGCATTATCCACGCAATACCAGTTGACGTGGAATCAACGCAAAATTCTAATGTAAACATTCAAAAATCTACCGATGATTTAGATACTGCAGCTTCTTCCTGGAGGTGAGAGAAATTTTGGTTTCAAAATCTACTAACAAATATTATTATCTTCCATATAATTACTTGCTATTTTTAGTGGTTACGGAATTAAAGGTTGGTTCGGACCTTCATATTACGGTGGTAACTGGGATGGACGAGGTCATCACGGGCATGGATGGGGCAATCGTGGCCATCACTATGGAAGTGGTTGGAATGGATGGGGTTCAGGATGGGGCTCAGGATGGGGTAATCAAGGATATGGCAATGGTTGGGGAAATAACTACGGATACGGATCCGGATGGCATGGAAATCGTGGTAGCTATTGGTGGTAAAATAAAAAATTTCACCGAAACTTTCAGCTTCAAGAATATTTGTATAACACTAATTTGCTTTTTGTATACGTACAAATCAACTAAGTTCTTTTTTTTATAAATCATTGAAAACATATTTGTAATGTTAACATGATTTGCTTGAATTAACGAATAAAAAACTATTTTTTAATAAAACAACACAAGTTTTATTTCAATATAAATACATATGCGCTGTTTTTGTTTATATGAGTAATGTTATAGCGATGAATCGTGATCTATTCACTTATTGGTAAAAACTTTAAAGATTATCATGTTCTATTTCAATTATAATATATATTTCTTTTCTAACTACATCCTAAGAAAAATTGAAAACCAAAAAAGGTCTAAAAATTTTTTCTCTATACTTGAACGTATTGAAACTAGGTAAATCATTGAAAATTATTGTAGATTAAAGTTTATTTCATTCATAAATTTTAAAATAGATTATATATGAAATGTTGAACGCAAGTCGTTAATAAATCTTTATTTACAAGTTACTAAAGATAAGCACAATTTAGTAGTCAGAACAAAAATTACCAATTATTAATTCTCATTTTTGGCTTTTTGAGATGCCGTTGAGATATGATCATGCTTATTAATCATCATCGTATTGAGTATCAGAAGCTTTATAAGCAGATTGACGATAACCAGATCTTCTCGAAGATTGCTGTCGGAGTCGAGTTTCTTGTCGATATCTAAACAATGGCCTAAACACAATGTCCTCTGCAACTTCCATGTCCTCGGGCGAATCGTCTTTTAATTTCTCTTCAACGGTGTGCATCCGATACAAAGCTCCATTATTTATGACAAATGATCGGCTGCCCGCAGTAGAGTTATTGATTGTTTCGACCTAGAAGGCAGGTGACAGTTCTGTACATCTGGAATCAATCCTACAAAGGGGTGGAAGGTATTTGTGAATCTGAATTTAACGATTACAAGATTCGATTAAATTTAACTCAATAGTAAGCAAAAGAAGATTAAAGGAGCTTTAGTTATGATATATATGGTAGTATATTTATTTTGACAAGAAAATGATAATTAAAATACCTTATAATTGTCTTTTACACCACTGTCAAGCATCGTACTGGATATACTTGTGCTATCATACTCTACAGTACTAAAACTGCTATTGTCTATCAAGCTATCATCTTCTTTAACAGATCTTTTGCCATTTTCTGCAGTTTCCTCCGTAATAGTGCCATTATTATCGTTATCATACATTTCCGAATCAATTGATCTTGGTTCGGTGCTGTTTCCTTTATTAATTACATCGACGATTTCTTCCGTGGTATTATTTTCGCTAATAGAATCGTCATCACTGTCGTTTTCATCGGAATCGATCTGTCTCTTTTTGACGATGTAAGGATAAGGTGGTATCACGGTGATCCCATCGCTGCTGCTGTTACTTTCTTTCAAATCGGCAGATCGCTTGCTAATGCCATCTGCATACGGATGTGAGTCTGAGGTAATGTCAGTGATGGCTACATCGGATTGCGGAGTATTAAAGTCGTAGGCCGGTATGGTAACAGTCGTTAACGAGTCTGATTGCTGCAGCGATTTCGATAAGAGTCCCGCGATCGATTGCTTAGGAAGGCTGATGTTTTGCACTTCGTTCGGAAGAGGAACCGTTTCGGTAGCCAATCCATGCGACAAATTGAAGCCCGAAACGATTTCCAAGAGCTTTCCAGGTTCCAGTACTGAAACATTTTCCGGGCCACGTAAAAGCGTGGAGGCTGTGGCTCCTGAGCTGGCGCCTTTCTGCAACGTTCAACACTGTCAGTGATGCGCCGGTTTGAACGTAAATAATCGAACACGAAAGAAAATCACCAGCGAAATTACGCAACAATTTCCTTACCGTTTCATTATCGTAATTCGTATCGTTCGTTGAAACCAATTGCGATAAACTGTATTCATTAACTTCCGCTACCTCAGCGGCCGTTGGTTTCCTGTCCGTTGTGTTCGTGCCATTAGACTGCGGTACTGCGTGAATTTCTTGAGTATGCGCAATCACCTGCAATCAATGTTATTACATCATTATTGAGCATGATATCCAAATACGATGCAAATCAATTTACCAAATTCGGCGCGTTCACTGGGAACAGCAGTAAATCTTTCCTCACGACTACTTCACTGACTGAACCATTTTCTAAGGCTGACTTTACCGTCTCATCAACATTGGGATCATGTAGGCTGATATTTTTTTTATTGTTTTGTACTGCCTCTTGGCTACGAACTAAGATCACGAGTACTAATATTAGTAGAAGGAATGTAATTTTAATCTGCAAACATAAAGAAATTTCTAAAATTCTTAATCTAATACACATTTACCTGAGATAAATTCAATGTCAAAGATTTGAGTGAATGTAATTTATAAACAAAGCAATTTTAGTCCGAGAAAGTCAAACAATTTTTAAGCACGGTGTATTGATTCGATCTTTTAAGAATGTGCAAATAATCCTTGGCTCAGGATTACGTTGGATACTTATACGCTCATTTGTCAAGCCGCGATGGCACACTTTCCTGTGTTTATACTCACTTGCCTGAAGTTTTTCATTTTTTGTTTTTTTTTTTTTGGAACACGAAGGGTTTTTTTTCCAAACAGTCAAGGTGCGAACCTGTGGAATAGTTTGCGGTGCGCTGGCAGACAAAGATCCACAGCTCTGGTCGGTGATAACGGTGAGCCACGAGTTTTTATATTGGGCGCGCAACACGTTAGCACATTGTCGCTAAAAGAAATACGCGTGAGTTGTCTGGAATACGCCCATGGTCGATCCTTTTACGTACTTTAGAAGATTATGAGTTACTTTTCATTTTGAGAAATTGGTCCTCGATTACATGCATCTCTCTGGAGAAAAAGTATTTTTTATAATAAAAAACAGTCATTTAAAACCGATAGGTTTTCTCATCACTAAGATTCTGTTTGCACTAAGAGTTCTTCCATTTGATCTTTTAATATATATACACACGCACACACACATATACACACAGAAATATTTTTGTTTGAAAGCGGCTTATCTCGCTGTTTAGATATCGCCCTTTTAGTATAAACCGCATTTTTATAAATACGCTATCACCTTTTTTCAAGGCTACTTCAGCTATGCAAGAATTGAAATGAAAATTTTAATTCTTTTTCGCAAATGCCTTCTGTACAAAGATTTATTGTTATATTTATCGTCGTATTGATATTAGGAAATGCATTGGCTTTACACATTTATGTTCATTGAAAATGAACAACTTATAGTCTTTTCTTCTTTATTCTATATCAAATCTACACTACATATACATTTTTATTGCAATTTTATAGAAAACAACGTAGATTTGTCATAAAAATAATTGTCTTTGAGATATTAAAAGATAATTAAAATATCTAGTATTTATATAGGGAAACGCAACTCAACTATATCGATTATTTTTATGCTAAACGTGAAATAAAAATTGAAAGCGGTCGAGAGAACTGCAGAAAAAAGCGTGACGGAACGGTAACAGACTCAAGATCTTCGAGGAATCCGTTGGTTGTTAAATGTTTAACGCTCAATTAGCCACTGATTATGAGCTCTTCGCATTCGGTGCGTAGTGGACCGACAAAAACTATATAAATCATTTGGCCTTTGAGCAACGCGGCTGCAGTTGTCGACTTTTCAATTTTCAGTTAGTTCGTCGCGACATATCGCACAGCGCATTCAAAGTACCTCATAAATGCAGCAGCAATTTTTCACTCGCTCATATTTATTGTCCTCTGCAAAGTGAAAAAACAAATATATAATCAAGCTGCGGTTACAGCTGCGGAGTGGCCCTGTGACGAACGGAGAGATTCATATCGCGAGCGCAGCAGAGTCACGATGAAATGGTTGGCGAAAGTGCTTCTGACCTGCTGCGTCGTCGTGTCGTCCTCAAGGTTGGCTGAGAACGCAAGACCGACCTTGGAATCGGAGACTGCGCCTTCTGCTATGATAACAACGCTAATTCCAATGTCGATGATAGCAACCAGTTCTGCGCCAATTACGACAGACCTGTCAGAAGACGAAAAGCACAAGCCAAGACAGTTACCAGTCGATTTCTTATCCAAGGACAAAGTTCTGCTCGACCCGAACGTTGTGTTGGCTCGAGTTGCTCGTGACACTTATGGTGGTTGGACTGGCTACAGACAAACTTTCTCAAAGCCCTACGAAAGAAAGCCTTTTGGCATTCAAGGATATTATGATCTCAAAAGAGCTGCTGCTAGGCCTGATAGATTGAAACGAAGAAAGGCCGTGAGAAGAAGCCAATCAGTACCGAAACGCTTCCGCGTTTATCCAGTTTTTCCTGGATAATTCTATGTCACACTGGCCATATCTTATTGTCAGAATATTTATTTTTTAAATGACATTAATAGGTTGTAATGTAAAAATTTCATTTATTAATTAACACTTCTATTTATATTCATACATATCTTTTGAAACTTGTTCTTCAAACGTGCTGTAACATGTTTTTTAAAACTATTTCAACAAGTTATTTCTTACCTATAATATTTTATTATAATAAATCTACACCATAAACATAATTCAACATCGAGTCTTCTTTCAACTACTTCTCATAATATTTCAATCTCAGTATAACAATGGAACGAATGTAGATCTGTTAGTGCAATAGAATATCAAGTAATTAAAATCATCTAATATTATTTGTATTCTGTAAAAATGCTTAGTTAACCAACAGCAATTTAAGTTGGCACTTATAGTATCTAACTTTACATAATAAATTATTCATATAAATAAATAACAAGCAAGTTTTTTTATTACATTTGAAATATAAGTCGATAATTGTCACAAATAAACTCGCTTTATTTTTATTGTTTAAAATATTAGTTTCTTCGTAGACTTTTAATATTTCACATTGTCTCGGTACATTAAAGAACAATGTTTTAAAACGTGTGAAGCTTTCATGTTTGATGGCCATAAAAATTGATTATTGCAGCTAAGAGTTACAAAATATATAAGTTTATTTAAAATTCCTCGCTTTTATTAATTAATTGATTATTACAGGAACGAAACTAATAGACACGTTTTTTTTGATACAAGTTTGAAAACTTTTGCAGCTGTATCTTATTGAAATTTCGTTTATCCAATGGAAAATTTCGTATATAATTCATAAAGTCAGAGAACCGAATAGCATCCTTAAAGAACGTTACTATACTGCGCGTCGAATTATTAGCCGCAGTAATAATTGTTCATTTAGCAAAATTAATATCTATTGCAAATGATTATTATGCATTATCATAATATTTTTTATGATAACAATAATGAAGCCATTAATAATGAATTAAGGCTAAAATATTGAATTATTGACTTACGAAAAGTTTTAAGTGCTATTATAAGTAAGCAAAGCCGATTCATTCGAAAATGTCCAATTTACCAAAATCTAGATTAGGCTATAAATTTAGACGATCGGATTATGAAAAGAATTATAAGAAACGCAGAATATCCGAAATGTTGCACATCGGTTTACATAAAAACACTTTAAATAGAAAAGAGGATATACGATATTTTAGTCATATTTATAAGCCTTTATTAAGATCGATAAGGAAGGGATGATAGATGAAGAATATATATATATATGTGTGTTGAAATACTTGATTTCTTACTGTATTGTAACGTGCCTGGCTACGAACTATTCGTTTTAGCCTATAATAATTTGACTACGAGAGAAATCAGGTATACACATATACATATAATTATATGCCATTAAAATGACATTTGTAACTTTATTGTTAATAATTTATTGTTTTTCTGTTAATAAAGCATGAAGAGATCAGCAAATGTGCTCACGAAACGTTGCTGAATATAATTAAAATTAAGTGAATTTTCAGCTCTTACTATTTCCCTTCTTTCCATTATTACAAATTTTATCATTTAGACAATCGACCTTTTATGATTTGGATCATTTCGATCCTATTCAAATTGAGCTAGAATATAGATTTTACTGGTATAGAACAATAAGTACGATTAATCCAACCCACTTTCTTCAGCAATCGTTTCAGCAATGATGGTCTTGAAAAAATTTATAAATTGTCGCAGTCAACCTGCGATAATTGTTATTTATAGTAAGCAGAGCTTGGGAGCTATTTATCTGCTACGTTGAATCGGCATTTGCAATGACTTTGAAAAATCAAGTTCTGACAGGGGATATTTTATTAAACACGTTTTATTACATGCATTCAAGATATTAAGTCACATATCTATAGATCTGAAAGATTTTGAAACTCATGCCAAATTACGTTTCGAAAAGGCGATTCTAAAGAAGTAGCTCGCTTCACTCGGGCGTAAACGCCACACGAGACAAGAATCTACTTTCCCGCACTTGTATCGTAATGTACTATTACATTTATTTTGTCTCATTAGCGTACAGAACGATCATAGCCGCACTGCCTAACATTTTCGATTACATTTTATTGCTATGACAATTACTTTAATTAATCAATAATAAGATGAACGAACAGATCCTCCAGCATAACAGAGTACGGCACTGATCTAGTGGACGGTACGCTTTGATAAAATTACCTACGGAACTAGGAACTCGGACTGAACCACTGAAAATAGTGAAATAATTTTTAGATACCCTGAAAGAGATTTTTCAATCGGATACCCTGTTATGTTAAATGGGATAATTTTTAAAGATCCTGAAAAAAATTTTCCAGTGGCAATTGTGGGCATTAGCGATGTATAAGAAAAATGCATGTTGACAATACGTTGGCAATAGTTCCTAAAAACCAGGTTTATTTTACAACTATTGGCAACATATTTAAAAAAACACCCAAGGCATCTATTAGCATTCGTATTCCAATAGCAATAGTCAATGTATCGTCAATATCTCAGCAATACTTTTAGCCAATATATGCGCAATATATTGCCAATAGTTTTTATTTTTACGCGAATTGATGTGAGCGATTTCTGTCTCTCTCTCTCTCTCTCTCTCTCTCTCTCTCTCTCTCTCTCTCTCTCTCTCTCCCTCAATCAATCAATCAATCGATCAATCAATCAATCAATCTCTGCCTGTCTTTCATGTCGGCTTCTCTCAGCTGGCTTGTGCAGTTGCCATATGAAGTGGCGACACTACCTTGTCACCTTGCTTCCTCAGAGATGGTTGGCCGTAAGCAAGAGAGGAAGGGTCCAGGTTTCAGGTTAGAAATGTTCGCGATGGTAATTATTTAATCGGTTACGAGGCCAGGAGGGAGGGACAGTGGCTTTTTCGGACCATCATAATGCATGTGGTTGGCTTGACCTTTGCGCTCGTGATGTATAGCATAATAGAACGTTATATAATTCCCAATTTAATTCAATAAAAAAAAATTTTATTTTAGTTAGTTATATTTTTGTGATATTGGGAAAATCAGAAAAGCAAAGATACATTTTTAGTTTGTCTGCCGTCTAATTTATTTCGAATAATTACTAATGTTGAAATATACTTTCATGTGCATGCTTATAGTCTATGTATGTTGATTTAGTTATTTCATTAACTATTTGATAATTTTTTTTATTGAAATGATTTTATATTTAAAAAAGTTGAGAACATTTTTGTAAAATGGTTCGTATAATTATTAGAGAAGTTTATTTATAAAATTAATTTATTTGTATCACATAGTTTTTAATTCTAACATTCATTCTGCATGATTCATACGGTTATACCAAATGTCTTAGTTATTGTTAATCATTATATCGTACGTAGATGAGTTATTTTGTCGATTACAGATACTTTGGTATAAGCTATTCTCTTTTTTTGCAATTTTTCGTAAATTTTCTTACGCCTATGTGAAAAAGCATTGACGTACATACTATAAATGATCTAAAATCAAAAGCAAACAGATCACGTATATTAAACAAGGAAGCACACAAAAACGTACCGTATTTTCTGGATAAAAAAGTCGTAGGTTGTCGTATGGCTCCATATATTAAACCTTATTTTTAATTTAGTATTTCGTATATAACATTTTCTGATCTAGAACATTTTATCGTTAAACTAAAAATCAGCTTTAATAATCAACTTTAAATGAAATACACCGATATTAATAGATATATATATATATATATATATATATATATATATATATATATATATATATATATATATATATATATATAATCTTAAAACGATCAGTCTCATTTGATTTTTGCTCAACTTTTTACATGGCGCTATCAAGAAGTATGAAAATTTTGAAAAAAAATAATTTCTGTAATATTTAAAGTAAAATTTGTTGGTACTATTTCTCTTGTGTTCTCGTACTTTATATTCTCAAATCTTGAAACAAATGAAACATAAGCTTCGCATCACGTCGTATTATCTTTGTGTATTATAATAAAATTAATGAGAGGCGATAGGTTAAAATTTGCATGACTTTGCTTTGACTCAATGAAGTATATAGAGAAAAAATTAAATATAATATATGCAAATTCAAACTATTATTACTCGTAATGATATCATTATTGATAAATAAGCTATCTAAATACTTTGAACTTGAAAATATCGTGTGTACTAGAAATATGCATAAAGCTGTGCTTAAAACCTCGGTCTGATTCCTGGACGTCTAATTGCACCTTTCTTAACGCGCTCACGATAGGCAAGTTGTTGGCGATAGACAAACAACGGTCGCAGGACATTAGTACCAGCAGCAGTTTCCAGATCATCGAGCTCCTCGGCGCTGCGCTTCTGTATTGGAGAGTTGACTTTAGTATCGTTGGATTGATCGACGACAAGCAAATGCAAATTTGGTATTTCTTCCATCAGACTTATTGAACCATTGGTTTTTTCATCTCTTAATATCTCGGTCACCGTTTCGGATTTGTCGATGTATTCAGTGTCAAAGGGCTTTGCTGCAACACTTGATATCAAGAGAATTGCAATACTGACTTTCCGGAACATGGCCTAAAAACCGATCGACGATGGAAGATTATTTCATATTACCTCAAAATATTTTTAATAAATAAAATTTTTATTACTGAGGCTTACCATTTTACAGCGATAAACACCACTATTTTAAAAAAATCATACAGTTAAACTAAGTATCGTAGTAAAAAGAACTTGTACAATCAACTGATTGGAGTAGATGTGCTTTTTCAGGTTGCTGTCTT